GTTGTTCTAGAGTTTTCTTTCTCCTCCTTTCCTCAGCGTCTTGGGGGCTGAGGCCTGGGAGAATGAAAGCAGCTATAAGAAAAGCCCAGATTCCAGAATTGGGGGGGGCTGGCTCCAGGACCTCCATTCTGAGAATGGCTGGGCCCCCCAGCCAGTGGAGCGCACAGGCCGGGGCACCACCCCAGGGTGAGGACTGGGGGGTGGGGTGCGTGGAGAGACTGGCAGGAGTCACCGGGGCCTGAACAGCAAGGATGCTGGGCCTCCATCGTTCTTCTACTCCAGCCTGCTTTGCCCCATTGCTCTGGGCAACAGCCTGTCCCCAGGCCACAGAAGGGCAGAGGACAGATACCACCATGGCACCAGGGCCCCAAGGGCCAATCCAGGAGCCCAAATTTGCTACCTCAGCCAATCTGTGGTGAGTCCCAGCTTAGTAGCTGTGTGACATTGGTCAGGTTACTTAACCTTGCCTGAGCCTCAATTTGTTGCACCTGTATAAAACAGAGAAGAGGTCTGTGTATGGTGGTACATGCCTGTAATCCCAGCACTGGGGAGACAGAGGCAGGAAGATTATGAGTTCCAAGCCAGCATGGGCTATAGATCAAGACTCTAGTTCACATAGCCAACCAAGTAAGCAGCAAACAACCACTAAACAAACTAAATAAAACAACCCAAATGAGGACAGCAGAGAATCCTGGGAAAAAGTAAAATAGCAGTTTACTAGGTGTTTAGGAGAAAAAAAAATCATTGTAGCTGGGCGCTGGTGGCTCACATCTTTAATCCTAGCTTCTCAGGAGGCTGATATCTGAGGATCATGGTTTGAAGCCAGTGTGGGCAAAAAAGTCCCCATGAGGCTTATCTCCAATAAATATTCAAACTCTGGAAGTGGCGCTGTGGCTCAAGTGGTAGAATTAGCCTTGGGCACAAAAAGGCTCAAGGACAGCGCCCAGCCCTTGAGTTCAAGCCTCACAACTGACCAAAAAAATCATTGTAGATATGTGCCCAATCCAAGAGCAATGGTTTGAAGACGTTTGGGAATTATGGCACTGCTTTCTCCCTACACAAGGTCACTCCTGCAGGCTGGATGTGGGTCTGGCGGTGAGATCTGAGGCGGGTGCCCTAGTCAGCAGCCCGCTACAGGTTCCACGCCCACCAAGGCTTCTGGGCTCACTGTGCAGACACCAAACCCCAGGGACCACCCGGCAACCTGGGCAGCCACCAGTGTTCAAACCCAGCCACAAGGGGACTTGCACACAGGAGCTGTGACAAATCAGAGCTGTAGCTGCAGCCATGCTGGAGTCTATGTCGGGAACCTCCTTTGAAATCCTCATGTGGATCCCCATCCATTCAGGGAGAGCCTTTGTCCTCACCTGGCTACCATCAGGAGACAAGGGCAGGGGTGGGGGGGGGTGAGGTGGGGAAGAGAAGCCAGTACTAATTCTTTTCCTTTTTTATGTACATACTTTTTTTTTCTGGTGGTACTGGGATTTGAACTCAGGACTTGACCATTGCCAGGCAAAACGCTCTACCACCTGAGGTATGTCCTGACTCTTTCATTTTCAGTTTTTATTTCATATAGCGTCTAGCACTTTGATCTCGCCTGATCTTCCTACCTCTGCCTCCCATGTGAGCTGGGATTATAGGCATGCACTGCCAGGCTCGGCACTCATTCTTTTCAGATCGCTTTCTCAAGCACTGACCCATCCCCACCCTGTTCGTCCAGGTTCTATACAAGCTGCAGGTCTGGTTGTTTCATTTTGTTTTGTTTTGTCGGTTATGGGGCTTGAACTCTGGGAGGCCTGGTTGTTTTTGCACGGCAAACTGGAGGACTCAAGTTAAAGACATAAATATAAATAAATCAGCAATCCTCTTATCTGGGACTCATTTCCGGCCATGTCCGCCCCCTTGGGGGAAGCTCCGTGACTCGCTGTGTTGGAAATTTAGTATCTAACTCCAGGCTCCCAAATGGTGGGGGCAGGTCTTCCAGCCAGCACCTCCGAGCTCAGTGCTTTATCTTTCCTTAAATAGCCAGCGCTGAAACTCCACAGCCAGCGCTCTGCAGACCCAGGATCCAGTTTCTTTCCTGGGGCTGTTTGGAAAAATGATACCTCGGTGCTAAGAGGCTCCTGCTGGGGTGCTGGCTTTGCTAAGAGACCGGACAGATCAAAGGTGCTCCAGGGGCTCCGCCAGACCCCCAGACCCGGCTAGGGGATCCCAGCTCCCTGGATTGTCCTGGGAGAGCTGGAGTGCCAGAAATACAACTGGCCACACACACACACACACACACACACACACACAGAGGATGAGATTCTTTATGAACCTAGTTCTTTCACTATTCATATCTTGATTATGTGGCAAAAACCTAGCAGAAGATGGACCCCACGGTATTTGAAATGAGATGCCCCCCCCCTCTGTTGAGAATTTGCTGCAGGCTATAAAGTAAGGAAGGCCAGGAACAGCCACTTAACTAGAGATAAAAATTTATTTCTGTCGCAAAGAAATCTGAGCGGCAGGATGTCCTGGGCTCGCAAATGTCACCAAAGGCGCTAACTCCTATCTTTCTGCCTTTGTGCTTGTCTCCAAATTCCAACATGACTGCTCCAGCTCCAGCCATCTTATCTGTGTTCCAACCAGCCAGCTGAAGAGAGAGGCAATTTGTTTGCTTCCCGCTCCTGCCCTGCTCCCCGCCCCCTCCACATATTGGCTTCTATTTTCTTTTCTTTTTCTTTTTGTGTGTTGGCACCAGGGCTTGAATACAAAGCCTTAAGCTCTTGCATTGCTCATGGCTGGTGTTCTACCACTTGAGCCACACCTCCAGCCTGGCATTTTGAGGCTTAACTGGATATGGAGGCTTGAGGACTTCTTTGCCTGGGCTGGACTTGCACACAATCTTTCCTTTCTTCCCTTCCCCTTCCTTACTCTATCTTTCCTTCCTTTACTTTACTTTCGTTTACTAGGCAGGTACCCTACCACTGAAGCACTACCTCCTGAAACTTCTTTTGCTTTTAGTTTTTTTGGGGGAAGGGAAGGGTCTTCCATTGTTGCCTGAACAGGCCTTGAACAACAATCCTCTTGATTTCTGCTGAGTAGTTGGGATTACAGGCATGACACACTGTGCCTGGCTGGCTTATACGTGTATTGATTAGCCCTCGCTGCAAGGGTCATTTAGGCGTGCACAAGGATTCCCAGAATAATATCTGTGGAGGGAGAAGCCTGGCGTGGTGTGTGTGGCTGGCTGTGGGTGAGTCTGTACTTGGCAAGCTCACATTGAACAGGGAAGGAGATGTCTCTACTGTGGTAGGGTCTTTGCACTCACAGATCTGTGAGCTGGGGGTGGAGATGACAATGGGGGGGGCTGGCACAGGATGGTACTTCCTGGGGCTATTGTCATTATCATTCTAGTCAGCTGCTCCTTTGGAGCCCTGAGAAAAGCAGGAAGAGTGGTGGTGGATCAGTTGGGAGAAAAAGTGAAGCGGGAGAAACAGGAACCAGAAATTCTGAGATCACCACCGCTGCTGTGACATCATTTGGCACTCTGTTTTCACACTCCCTGGCTGAGCTGCAATACACAGAGCGCAGCGGCTGGGTGTGGTGGCTCCTGCCTGTAATCCCAGCTACTCAGGAGGCTGAGGTCAAGAAGATTAAGGTTGAAAGGTATCCTGGATAGAAAAGCTCTAGAGGGTCTGTCTCAAAACTTAGCCAGCAAAAAGCTGAGCGGAAGCCTTGGCTCAAGTAGTAGAGCACCAGCTGTGAGAAAGTGGGAGGGCCCTGAGCTCAAACTCTAGGACCAGAAAAACAAAACAAAACAAAAAAAGATTGCTATGCTGGGAGACATCAGCAAGAATATTGTAAAGAAAGACAGTGATAATCATCTGAGAACATGATTCCTTTCTTGCTGGGTGCTGGTGGCTCCCACCTGTAATTCCAACTACTCAGGAAGCTGAGATCTTAGGATCATGGTTTGCAGCCATACTGGGCAGGAAAGTTCATGTGACTCTTGTGTCCAAATCAATCCAGAAGTGGAGCTGTGGCTCAAGTGGTAGAACACTAGCCCTGAGCAAAAAAGGTCAGGAACAGTGCCCAGGCCTTGAGTTGAAGCTCCAGGATGGACATATAACAACAACCACCAAGATTCCTCTCACCGCAGAAGTGTTCACAAAGGGAAAAAAAAGTGAATCTTAAGGAAAGCCACCTGCTTCAAAGGAACACTGCAATCAACTAGTAAGTGTTTGGAAGGAGGCTCAGGGACTCAGCATTTCAGATCCCAACACCCTTTGCTGACAGGACTCCACAGCTCTCGGCTCCATTGCTGATGTCAAAGCATTGAGGCAGCCAGAACGAGCAAAGCCGCTAAGAGAGTGAACTCGCTCACAGTGCGTTATCCACACGCATGGAAATAGCACAAAGCAATTCTTCTAGGCGATTAACAGCTGCTCATGAAAATGTTTAGACACACCAGAATGAATCAGGCCTATCCAGAAAGAAGGGGCATGGACCCTAAGGTGAGTTCAAACCAAACTCCACCCCAATTTCCCAGTATCTATGGCTCTGATGTCAGAGCCAGCATCTGGGGCTGGCTGTGTACCACCTTTCTTTCTTTTGCTGATAAAAACTTCGCTGGAGCTGGGTGCTGGTGGTGCACACCTGTTAATCCTAGCTACTCAGGAGGCTGAGATCTGAGGATTGTGGTTCAGGGCCAACCTGGGCTGGAACGTTTGTGAGACTCTTATTTCCAGTAAATTATTAAGAAAGCCAAAAGTGGTGTGTTGGCTCAAGTGGTAGAATGCTAGCTTTATGTGAAATGATGCTCAGGCCTGGAAACAGAGTTCAGGCAAAACAATAAAAAAAAACTTTACTGGTCTTTACCTCCACATGATGTAAAATTCATTTTTTGTATATGACAACCTCATAAGCCCAATATCTACGTTGAGTAGCTCTCCCTCTGGGGACCTCCTGGGTCCCCATGGGCCCTGGGGTCACTCCACATGGCCCTGAGTCCCACGTGGCTTGAGCCAGGCTTGCTAGGCAGATGGCCAGACAGAACCTTCTGCAGAGCACCAAATGGAATAGAAAGGAGAGAGATTTAATGCAATAGAAATAACAGCATGTCCACTTGTCTTCTCCAGGCCTGCCCTGCCTGGGGAACAGCTGACAGTACATCCCTGGGGCCGGCAGCACCGCCAGCTCTACAAAGTCCCCATACAATACATTCAACTGCGTTTAGGCTGTGGAGGGGCCTGCTGGCCTGGGGCCTCCAGCCCTGGGTCCCATCCCGGGCTGGCCCTGGTTGCTCAGCTGCTGCTTGTTCCTCCCCAGATGTGTGTCTCCTGAGACTCCATGATGGGTGCGCAGGGCCCAGCCAGGCTGGCTTCGGAGCATCATGGCGTCAGTGTGTGCGGACCCCTGGCTCACAGCTGGTCCTCGTCCACCCAGATGGTCTTGCGCTGTTCCTCAGCGATCTTGTCCTTGAGGACGCGCAGCAGCTCCTCCACGCTGCTCCACGCGTCGGCCTCCACTGTGGCGTACAGGCAGGGCAGGGCCTCCAGCTCCTTCTCCTTCAGCCGGCACACGCGCAGGAACTCCTCTTCCGTCTCCGGCCGGGGTAGCAGCTTCCTGTTGGGGAAATGTAGGGGCTGTGGCAAGTCTGCAAGACTTGATGTCCATTCCCTGCCAGCCTAGGGGCATGGAGGGCTGTGTGGGTTCCTGGGACCACCCTGCTGATTATACCACACTCCTAGCTCCATTCATCCCTACTACCTGTATCCTCTGCCTCCCCCTGCAGCCCCCACCAATACTGGGGCTTGAACTCAGAGCCTGGGCACTATCTGTCCTCCAGCTTTTCTGCTCAAGGCTGGTGCTCTACCACTTGAGCCACATCTCCACTTTGAGCTTTCTGGTGGTTAATTGGAGATAAGAGTTTCATGGCTCTTCCTGCCTGGTCTGGCTTCAAACTGCAATCCTCAGATCTCAGCCTCATGAGTAGCCAGGATGTCAGGTGTGAGCCACCAGCGCCTCACACTGGGCTCTACCGGGCCCTTTCATGTTGCACATTATGAAAAAATCCTAAGAAGTGAAAATTTAAAAAATAAATTCTTTTTTGAGGGAAGAGCTGGGTATTTGAACTCAGAGCCTCACATATGGTAGGCAGTGCTCTATCACTTGTTCCATGCTGCCAGGTCTTTTGCTTTTAGTCTTTCACAAAAGGCCGCACACTTTTGTCTGAAGACCCTGGCCTCAGACAGTGATCCTTCTTACTTCTGCCTCCCAAAGAGCTGGGATTACAGCCATTCAATACTAGCCCCAACTGCTTTTGGTTCTTTGGGGGCAAAGGCTCAGAAGTGGGATAGCTGGATCTCATAATTCCATGTTGACTTTTTTTCAGGGGTTTCCATCCCATTTCCTATACAACACCACGTTCCAGTCTACTCGTGGAGCAACAAGGTCTGATCTCCCCAACATATATTGGTAGCTATGTGGGGACATGAGGACCCCAGGATGTTGTCCATCGTGGTTGCCCAGGCCCCAGTGGCATCCTCTTTCTGTTCTACCCCACATGGACCCTGAAACAGATCCTAGAGGTGGTGTCTTCGCTGCAGCCAGAGCCAGAGTGTCTCTGGTTACTGCCCAGCCAGGTACTGCCCCCTCTGCCTGAGTTACCAGACAGTACACGTACAGCTTTGGCCTGGAGGCTCTTATGTAATTCCACATGTGGATGTGGAATTAAATCCTGTGCCCTGCAGGGCCGGGGAGGGCTGTCCTCATGGCTCTGCCGCGTCTCCCTGAGGCCTCTTGCTACTGTCGAGCTCTGGGGTGTCCCCCAAAGCAGGCCCACTGGTGGCTCACACCTGCAATCCAGGCTATGCAGGAGGCTGGGATCTGAGGATTTTGGTTCGAAGCTGGCCCGGGCAGACTTATTTCCAAATTAACCACCAAAAATCTGGAAGTGGAGCAGTAGCCCAAGTGGTAGAGCTCCAGCCGTGGTGAAAAAGCTCAGGGGCAGTACCCAGGCCTTGAGTTCAAGCCCCAGAACTGGCATAAACAAGGGGGTGGTGGTGGTGTTCAGCTTGGACCCCAGCTGGTGGCCTTATTGGAAGGGGGCAGTGGCGGCAGGGAGTTGGGGCCGGGAGGGGCCGTCATGGGGTGCTTTTGACATGGGGGGCGTTTTGTCTTCGGGCTGGCCCACCCCCCACTCCCTGCTTCCTTGCTGCCAGGAGGTGAGCAGCTTTCTGCCAGGATGCCTGGACAGGACACAGAGCCCAGCCCCCTCTGTAACAGGCGCCATAGTCACTGTCTTCTGCTTTGGGCTGATTTTCTCAGGAGTTTCCTCACTGTAAGGGAATGGGGGCAAGCTGGCCCACACCCTGGCCTGTACTTTCCACACACATGACCAAGAGTCTGCCCTGGTGTGGGCCCCATCTTGGGCAAGGCCCCTGGGTGGCAGGGGGAGGGGTGGGTGGAGGTGAGGGCCCACCTGAATCTCTTGATGTTCCTCTCGGACACGCGGATGAGCAGCACGATGGGGTAGATCCTGCACCTGATCAGGTCTCGCACACAGCCGATCCCCACTTCCAGCAGGCAATGCTTGTTCTGGGAGCACAGCAGACACCAGTCAGCAGCCGCCCTGCCCTCCCTGCACGCGTAAGGACAGACAGACACACAGGGACACACACATCCCACGGCTTGTCCCATGATGTGGTGGTCACAGAGACCTGTGGCGACAGAGGCCAGGCTGGCCCTAGAGAGGGAAGAACAGGCCACCTGCCACTCCAGCTAGAGGGTAGAAAGCACTAGAAAGATGGTGCTGGCTGGTAGGTCCTGAGAGCACCTGTAGAGTTCTCACCCATGGGCCTCACAGTCCCCTGCTTCACTGAAGGTATCATGGTAAATAGAATATCAGGCTTCATACTGAAGGAGCACATAAAAAGCTGAGTGTGGGCTGGGAAGGTGGCTCAGTGGTAGAGTATTTGCCTTGCATGCATGGGTTTGATTCTTCAGCACCACATAAGCAGAAAAAAGCCGGAAATGGTGTTGTGGCTCAAGTGGTAGAGTGCCAGCCTTGAGCTAAAGAGCTGAGAGACAGCATCCAGGCCCAGAGTTCAGGCCCCACGACCGACCAAAAAAAAAAAAATGCTGAGTGTGGTGGCACATGCCTGTATTCCCAGAACTAGGGAGGTGGAGGCAGGGGATTGTGAGTTTGAATCTAGACTGAGGTAACAGAAAAAAGGAAGGAAGGGAGGGAGGAGGAAAGAAGGAAGGAAAGAAAGGAAAGAGGAAGGGAGCTGGGAAGTTGGCTCAGTGGGTAGAGTGCTTGCCTTGCATTCATGAGGCCCTGGTTCAATTCCTCAGCACCACATAAGCAGAAAAGGCTGGAAGTGGCGCTGTGGCTCAAGTGGTAGAGTGCTAGCCTTGAGCTGAAGAGTTGAGGGACAGCGCCCAGGCTCAGAGTTCAGACCGGCAAAAAAAAAAAAAGGAAAGGAAAGAGGAAGGAAAAAAGAAAAAGTAAGAGAGGGGATGGAGAGAAAGAAGGAAAGAAGAAATAGAAAAGAAACAGCCAGGTGCAGTGGCTCATGCCTATAATTCCAACCAAGAGGAAGGAGTGCAAGACCAGCTGGGCAAAAAGTTAGCAAGGCCCCATCTCAATCAACAAAGAGCTGGTTGTGATGTTTCTAGCTACTCATGCCTGCCATGCAGGAAGTGTAAAAAGGCCTATCACAATCCAGGCAGCCTGTGCACCAAATGTGAGCCCCTGTTGGGAAAACAATGAAAACAAAAAGGGGTTGGGGGTATGTGGTTGAAGTGTAGAGCATCTGCCTAACAACTATAAGGCCCTAAGTTCAAATACCAAAGGTAGAAACAAATGCCTAGTATGCCCAGGCCCCTTTGCCCACTGTCCCTGCTCACACAGCTGGCAGCACCTGCCTGGCATCTGACATTTGCCTGACTTTCACACCTGCCCACTTCCTCTCCACTCCAGCCATCAAACTTCCTAACGACTCTGACCCAAACTTAAACACCACCAAATATTCTGGCCTTCTAAAAGCTTGGCCTCGGCTTTCACATGTGTGTCAGGCCACGCCCCCTGGGGCACCAGCTGCCTTGGGCCCAAGTGCCAGTGGAGGGAAGAACTCAGTGCTTGGGGCAGGGTCACAGGTGCTTGGCTCCAGAATTTCCCAAAGGACCTTCGGTGCAGACACTTTGCTGGCCTTGATGACTCTCTTTCCCCTGGTTGGGCTACATGACACCTGTCACCTTGCTGTCTCTCACCCCAGTGTCACACCTCGGGTGCATAAGTTCAGAAGCAGAAACAGAAGGTGGCTCCAAAATAAACCCGAGTTCGAGCTGGCAGAACAGGGGCAGAGGGAGGGAGGAAGTCATAGGGGTAGGGAGGAAAAAGCAGCTGCCCTCTCACTAGAGGCCTGGCAGTGACCAGGTGGGGGGTCTCTGACCCACACCCTTACCTTGGCTGCCACTGCTTGGATGTTGGCTGGGACAATGCATTCGAAAGTGTTGGCATTCTTTTCCCGGGAGTAGATGATGGGCTCTGTCTTCTGCTTTCTGAGGAACTCATCTCTCGTAATGATATCTAGGGGAGAGGGACACAGGGGGGTGGTCACTCGTGGATCTAAGCCAGTCAGATCCACTGCCAGTCACTGGGAAGGAATCTCAATGTCCTCACTGGATAGAGTCCTTAAGGCAGTGCTGGGGCCACACACTCCCCATAGCTGGCAGGGCAGGTGGGGTCACAAATACAGGGGACCTGGATCCTCAGGAAGGAGCCTCACTGGGCAAAGCAGCTCAGGAACTTTAGTGTCACATTTCTCCCACCACCAAGAGTTCAATCACAAAGAATCTTACCCATGAGCCCACTCACAATCTGTCCATCCATCCATCTATCCATCCATCCACTCACCCACTCATTAACTCATCCATTCATTTACCATTCCATGTGGCCATCTATCTATCTATCTACCCACTTATCTACTCAACCACCAGCTATCTACCCACCCATTATTTATCCACACGATTGGTGGATAAGTATCTATCATCCACCCATCATCTGCTCATCCATCCATCCACCCATCCATCCATCCATCCATCCACCCATCTATCCATCCACCCATCCATCCATTCACCCACCCACCCGTGCAGTCTTCCTTCCATTCATTCATCCATCTATCCAGTCATCTACTCAATCATCAGCTATATACCCTCTCATTATTTGTCTATCACCCATCCATCATCTGCCTATCTACCCATCCATCCCTCTACCTATCTATAGACTCATTCACTCATTTACCTGCTACCTACCCACTCTTTATCTATCCATTTACCTGTTCATCATTCATCCATCAACCCACCCATCTGTCCATCCATCCATTGATTTCCTCAATCAACCCTACTAAGGGCCAAACAGGGATTTTTTTTTTTTTTTTGCCGGTTGTGGGGCCTGAACTCCGGGCCTGGGTGCTGTCCCTGAGCTCTTCAGCTCAAGGCTAGCACTCTACCACTTGAGCCACAGTGCCACTTCCAGCTTTTTCTGCTTATGTGGTGCTGAGGAATTGAACTCAGGGCCTCATGCATGCGAGGCAAGCACTCTACCACTGAGCCACCTTCCCAGCCCCAGGGATTTTTTTTTTATGCCAAACCAGCTGCTGTACTGACCTGGCAGGACAAAAAAGTGTGGCCCACAGACAATTACAAGACAAGTTCATGGGCACAGTGATGGCTTCCTTCTGTGGTAGTACTGAGGAGTGGGAGACGGGAGGAGGCCCCGCTGGCTTGCTGAGTGATTCTGATCTAATTTTTTTTTGGGGGGGGGTCCGGTCGTGGGGCCTGAACTCTGGGCCTGGGCGCTGTCCCTCAGCTCTTCAGCTCAAGGCTAGCACTCTACCACTTGAGCCACAGCACCACTTCCGGCTTTTTTCTTTTTGCTTATGTGGTGCTGAGGAATCGAACCCAGAGCCTCATGCATACAAGGCAAATACTCTACCACTGAGCCACCTTCCCAGCCCTCTGATCACATTTTTAACTTCTCTGTGCCTCAGAGATTCCTTTTATTTGTGTGTGCGTGGGCAGAGGAACAGGTCCAAGCCTGGAAATTCTGCTTGGGTTCAGGCTGGCCTTGGTGGCTCACACCAGTGGCCAGGGTACAAACTCAAGGGCAGGAAATGGGTCTGGAAGGAGGATAAACCTTTCATTCCCACCACAAGGGCTTATCTGAAAACTAAGTAAAACGAAAGGGCTGGGTGTGTGACTCAAGTGGTAGAGTACCAGCCTAGCAAGTGCTAGACCCTGAGTTCAATCCTTGGTCCTGCCACTAAATAGACAGCTAAATAAGTAAGTAAATAGATAGATATAGGTGACTCCAGCTGAGATTGGGGCTTGGTGAGTATCTAATGTCATCCCAGCACCCCCTTCCATGTGTGGGGAGACCATGGCCCAGAGTGATGGGGTGACTGGCTGCACCCTTGTGTGGGTGCCCTGAGCTTTGTCATCCTCAGTATAAAACAGGGATTAGGAGGGCCAGGTGCCTGCTGAAGTGGGCTGAGATAGGGAGGAGATGGGAAGCAGGCCTGGGGAGGCATTGGGGTGTTCTGATGGTGGGGGTCCCCCAAGGTGTCCTTCCGTCTGGGTCTTCTTGTCTAACCCACCTGACTTGCAGATGGTGAACTCCATGGCACCTCCCGAGTTGAGCAGCTTCTGAACCAGCGTCTTGGCCAGCACGGTGGGTGTGAAGAGCACAGGCCGCCGGCGCTCGCAGTGGAAGGCCCGCACCAGGCTGTAGGGCGTGAGGCTGAGGTTCTTGCTGAGTTCATTCTCAGGGTCCAGCTCTGGCAGAGGATGGGTGGGGTGGCTGTCAGAGGCTTGGGCACCCGGGGATGTCTGAGGTGACCATGTCCACAGGGGTTTGTGCCTGTGTAAGCCCAGCCTAGACTGGAAGGCCTCAGATGATCAAGGAAATCTGCTCAGAGTTGGGCTTGGAGGAGGAGGAGGTGGTGGCCAGGGAGAAAAGTGATCCAGGCAGGAGACCAGGTGGACGCAGGGGTCAGGGATGGTAGAGATCAGCTTTAGGAACTTTTATGGCTCTGGTAAGCCCAGGCAGGCAGCGGGAGTAGGGCCTCCCACTGGGGATGGGGTGTGTGTGTGGTGGTGGGGGGACTGCTAAAGTCAGCCCCAGGCAGCCTCAGACTCTGCTTCCCACAAACCAGTGACCTGCCTGTCCCTTTCCTCCATCCCTTGGCCTAGCCAGTCTTAGAAGGAACCTGGTCATTCTTCCAGACTATCAGTGCTGGCCTTTGTCCTGTCCCCTGAGGAAGGCCCAGCCTGGCCACAGGGGAGGAGGGGAGGAGGCAGAGAGGAGCTGGCTGGCCATCAGGTGGGGGATGGGAAACAGGGCACCAGGTGGCCCTTCATCAGTGAGATAAATGGCAAAAAGCACTCAGTAGGGAGAGAAATCAATAAATAAACACTCTACAGCCAGCAGCTCCAATTAACGTGGGCAGCTGGGCTGGAAGCCACGATGACAAGTGTCAATCAGGCCAGGTCTTGGGCACTGCAAGGTACCCAACTGGAGGCCAACTACATCTTCCCATCCTCATCTTTAGGGGGAGCAGGCCCCATCTGGGGATGGAGATACCCCTCTAAATGGGTGCCCAGACCGTCACCACACACCTTCATGCTTCTCTGCCAAGAGTTTGGTGGCATCCAGTGAGGACCGGGCCAGGCCACCCAGGGGACCCCCAGAGATGATCCGGACTCGCTCATTGCTGTTCATCCGCTTGTACTTATTTTCGGATCTGCTGACAAACTAGAAGGATAGAGCAGGGGAGGCATGGGGGCGTGGCACAGGGAGAATGGTCCTCTCTGTTACTAAGCTGCCTCCAACTCAGCTGACCCCAAAGCCCATCCTGTTCTCTGTAAGGACTGAAGATATGCAGCAGGTGGCTGCTGGTAGGTAAGTGGATGAATTCCTGACTAATAATGTAAGAAATAGTTACGAAGACTGTGTCTATGTACCTGTGACATTTCTGATGCAACCATAATGTGTGAGTCAATGTTCCTTGTATATGTACAAGGAAAATGGTCCAGGCAAAAATGGGTTCCTTTTAGGAAGTAAGCACAATAAAAAATTCCTTTCTGGTTTCAAAGAGCTAAAATGTTTTAATAGACAGGTAAGATTTAAACGACTTGCTGGCTCTCTGTACTCCTTTTTTGTGTGTGCGCAGGACTTGAATTCTGGGACCTTGTGCTCACATGGATTTCTTGCTCAAGGGTAGCACTCTACCACTTGAGCCAGGCAACCAGCCCAACTTTTAGCTGGTTAATTGGAGATGGAGCCTCATGTATTTTTTTTTTTGAATTGAGGTCCTCTGGATCTCAACCTCTTGAATAGCTAGGCGTGAGCCACTGGTCCCTTGTTAATTTCTCTTTTTTCTTTGGTTCAGAATGCTCAGATAAATTTAAAGTTCAATCTGAGGCAGTAAACTAATCTTAATATTTGGAATGATTTTGTTTTCTTGACACATGAGATTTTTGGATTTTTCTCTCTTTTTTTTTTTGGGTCCGATCATGGGGCCTGAACTGTGGGCCTGGACGCTGTCCCTCATCTCTTCAGCTCAAGGCTAGCGCTCTACCACTTGAGCCAAGCACCACTTCCGGCTTTTTTTCTTTTTGCTTATGTGGTGCTGAGGAATCGAACCCAGGGCCTAATGCATGCAAGGCAAGCGCTCTACCACTGTGCCAGCTTCCCAGCCCTGGATTTTTTCTATTAGCATTCTTTTTTTAAAAATACAATTTTATTGCTATTACTTAGGTATTATTCAAAGAGCTGGCCAATTCTACTAATATTCTTACAGCTAAGATGTTTAAGCTGTTTTAGGCCATACGTTTCTTCAAAGAAAGTGGGATATTTTCATCTAACAGGAGCAGAGAACTGTCTACCGACCTGTTATGGAGTGGATTAAGTGGGCAGGGGTCCTCAGGCATGATGAAAACTTGTAAGTTTTAAACACAGGGGCTTGTTATGCTGATGTCACCTGCCCATCTCTTCTTGGCAGGCAGAAGGCAGAGCCAAATAAAATGGGACACAAAGACAGAGGGTTCTAGAGGGCTTTTACCTGGAGGAGTTGGCCAAAGAAGAAACTGGCTCTGGAGAGTCGGGGGCTAACCCGGGGGTCACTGGTGGAAGGTGACTCTTCAGGCTGCAGCGTATTCTGCAAAGAGTTGATCAGTCAGAGAGTGGGGGGTGGGGCGTGGCAGGAGCTGAGAGCAGTAATTGCAGTGGAGAAACAGAAACTCCCTCTCCACATCCTCTCTGTGCATCAGGTAGCAACACAGAGCTGCAGCCAGACGGGAAGCAGCCTGGAGGCTGGGGGAAGGTCACCCCAATCCAACAGTGGCATTCTGACATCACGGGAGTGATCCAGGCCACCGTCTTCCCTGAGGGTACACGCTGGGCCTGATCCAGGGGCTGTTCATTCCCAGAGGAAACCAAGCTCCTCTGCAGCTCATGATCCCAAAGATTTTCATGGGTGCTGTTCCCCAGACTTGGAGAGACAGGGGTCAAGTTGGCAAGGTCTCTACCCCTGTTGCCTGGTGAGGCTACACTTACCCGGAGGGTTCGCAGTGTGTGGTGGGTGCCATCTGTCTCCTCCCGGATTCCCCGGTGGACCAGACGCTGCAGCTTGACCAGGAGGAGCTGCTGGGCCCTGGGGAGGTGAGACAGGATGACCCTTAGGGGCTGGAGCAGTAGGAATGGCCAGCGCCTCCTATGGAAGATGGGGCTGCATGTGTCTCCTGAACACCCCCTGCAGGACTGGGGCAAAGACTTCCTCAGGCCTGGGCATTCTCATCTGTGAGCCTGGGGCTGCTGTCCCTCTCCTAGCTGGTGAGCTGTATGGAAGTTCAGTACCACAGTCCAAGGAATATTGTCTAGACCCAGGGTTCATTCCCCAGCACTTCCCAAGTTCACTGTGATCCGTGATCAAGGAGTCAGCACCAGGCCTGGTCATTATCAGGCTGCATGAGGCACTGGGAAAATTCAATGAAGGAGCAAGGCATGGTTCCTGGGCTCAGGACAGCTTCCCAGTGGAGGGGCGACTGGAGATCTAGTCACCAGGCAAAGGCTGGGGTTCCAGGCTCCTCCGTGAGCTCTCTGAAGACACCCTGGCACCACCTGCCTCTCTCACCAGCCCCTGGCCTCACCGGCTGTAGCTGGGGATGGTTCCCATGTCCAGGTCCTGGTCTGTGAAGGGGTCAACGCGGGAACACAGCCACTCGTGTCTGTCCTGGTACATGGTGTCGTGGACGTGCACCACGTCATCGCACCGGAGGGACAGGGAACAGGCATCCAGCTGGCTGGAGATGTTCAGATTGAGCCGGATATAGAACGAGTCTCCCGATGTGATCACGCCGTCCTCCATGTCCTTCAGAAGCTTCCGGTACCCTGCGGAGGTGGGTCCAACCCCCAAATCACCCAGCAGCCCCCAAACCCCCAAGTCACCCACAGCTTCCCACCACCCCTCCTGGGCAGGACTGTTGTGGGGAGTTTGTGGATGGTTAATTTCTCCCTGATGGGCAAGTGGTCATTTGTGAGTTTCTCTGTTTGAAGCTCAGAGCTAAATTTTGTGCCAAGGTATAATTGCTTTTATTAGCATTCCTGCTATTTTTTTCTTTCTGAGACAGAGTCTTTCAATCCTCCTGCCTCAGCCTCCCTAGTACTGGGATTGTAGACATGCATCACCATGCTTGGCTGGCACTTGCTTTTTTCTTCTGTAGCCAATCCCCACCAGTGAATACCCTTTCTAAGGAGAAACTTCATCCTGATTGCTATTACCTTGTTCACTGTGCTTCATTTTCTTCACAGGGAAACAAATATAGAAACGCCTTTGGTCTGGATGCTAAAGCTCAATGTTATGTCTATTAGACTCCTCTAGATGTTGCAAGATGTGGTAGTATGTTCTTTTCACCACTGTATGGTACTCCACACTTCATGCCTTTATTCATTCTCCTTCTTATATGTACATTTGCCCTGGTGGCAGGTTGGGATTGTTATGAATAAGTCTGCTATGAGTTATTTCTGGTGCACACATGTGCCTATTTCTCTTGGATACAGACATGCAAGCAATTGCTGAGAAGCTATGTGGTTAGCTGGGTCAGATCCTGCCAAGGGATTCTCTAAGTTGGTAAGACCCTGACCCACATTCTAATCTTCAATGATACTTTATTTATTTATTTTTTTGGCTGGTTGTGGGGCTTGAACTCGGGGCCAGGGCATTGTTTCCCTGAATTCTTTTGCTCAAAACTAGCTCTCTACAACTTTGAGCCACAGCTCCACTTCTGGTTTTCTGGTGGTTCATTAGCTATAAGAGTTTTACAGACTTTCCTGCTGGCTTTAAACGGTGATTCTCAGATCTCAGCCTCCTGAGTAGCCAAGATTACAGGTGTGAGCCATTGGCACCCATCAATGATAGCTTTTCTTTCCTTTTCTTTCTTTCTTTTTTTGTCAGTTGTAGGGCTTGAATTCTGGGTCTGGGTGCTGTCCCTCAGCTCTTCAGCTCAAGGCTAGAGCTTGATCACTTGAGCCACAGCGCCACTTCCAGTTTTCTGGTGGCTTATTGGAAATAAGAGTCTCAAGGACTTTCCTGCCCAGGCTGGCGACCCTCAGATCTCAGCCTCTTGAGTAGTTAGAATTACAGGCATGAGCCACTGGCACCGGCTTGTTTTTGTTTTTGAGTAAATGTTTTGCAAATAACTTCGGAAGAAAGCACAGTACCAACTGTGAATATTATAAAATCAGCAAACTGTAAAGCAAACATCTAGGATATCAATCCATAATATAAATTCCCTAAATTGATGTCACATGCAAGAGACTGAGCAAGGGTGGGAGCTAATACACCTTCACAGGCCCTCAAATGTCCTTCCACCCATTCCTACCAGCAGGGGCCAAGTTCCCACGGCCTGGGTGTGAAGAAACAAGAGATTCCACATCAGGTCACCCTTGAGCCTCTTGGCTTTGCTCAGAGCATTTTAGAGTCCCTCCTTCCACCTGGGTGGGATAGTCTGAGCTAACTGTCTTGAGTTCCAGATGGCAGGGCCTTGTCACTGCACAACTCCAGAGGGTGCTATTCACCCCACACTATGGCATTGCTGGCCACTGGTCAGAGATTATTTGTGAGGCTGAAAGGCTAGGCTGCAGAGGTGTGTGTGTGTGTGAAAGGGAGTGTCCGCTTCACCTTGTGGTGGAGGGGTGGGGTGGAGGGGACTCAGCCCTGTGTTTGGGGACAGAGCACCTTTATTATCTGCACCAGCGCAAACACTGCTGGAAGGAACGCGGGACCCGCTAGAGGAGTTGGCTATTTATTCTCTGCTGAAACATTCATGAGCCCTGTGGTTAAAAATAAGACCCAGCTGCAGAGAAAATCATGCAGGAAAACCCAAGGTGAGAATAGAAATCAGATTTGGGGAACCAAACAGAGCCCACATTGCCTAGGAGCTGGAGCCGACAGAGGAGCTGTGATTAGAAACCACAGGGGGTGAAGATAAGAAGGCAACGGGAGGCAGCTGGCCCCTGGGGTGGGGGGGAGAGGACCCCTGGACACAAGGTCAAGGCTGTGATGTGGTCCATAGAAGAGGGAAACTTCCACCAGGCAGGGCGTGGTGAAAGCGGCCTTGGCTAGGGCTACTGCATCCAATGCAACCCGTTAGGCAGCAGGAAGCGTGCTGCCCAGCCCAAGGAGACATGGAAAAGCTTTTGTCCCTGTCTGCTCCTCAATACCTGCCTGCTGGACCTGACACCCCCTCTGTCCCCTCGCTGGGGCTGGCAGGGGCTCGCTCTTCCCACAGAACAGATGGGCCTGAGGTGGGGGGACTCCTGGCCTGTCTGAGACCTCACCTTCATGGTTGACCTTGTAGTGCAGGGTGACAGGTCCGCTGCATCTCTGGATGGTCCAGCGGGCCTCCTCCTTCGTGCACGCGTCCAGGGGGACACTCTGCTTCTCCCCTCGGATGCATCCTTCCAGCTAGGAGCAAACACACTGTTCTTCTGGCCTCTGCCAGCCAGCCAAGGGCACAGTGGGTAGAGGCTGCCTGCCCCCTCCCCAGGGGAATAAGAGCCAGTGGTGGCTGGACCGGACACGGTGACCCGCTCAGCGCCTCCTGGGGGCGGGGGAGGACGTATGCATGGTAGGGGGGGCTTCTTGGACCCTGGGAGCCCCCTGCCCCTCACCAGCAGCAGTTGGTGGCCCTCGTGCAGCCCTGCCTTCTCCGCCATGGAGCCCGGCTTGACTGTGTGGATGAAGCTGCCCCGTGCGTTGCCCCCCAGAAGGGTGAGCTGGCCGACCAGGCCGTCGCCGCTGAGCGTCGTGTGCTGCACTGAGGCCCCAGGACCCCGCACGTGGCCCCCAGAGGTCACCGAGGGCCGGAAGGGTCTGGTTTGGAAGATAAAGCGGTGGTTAGCCAGCAGCTGGGTGGCCGAAGCCCCGGCCTCTGGGTTCCAAGGCTGTCAGAGATGGAGCCACCTTGCTAGTCACACGACCCAACTGCTGGCCCCAACCCTGACTGCCCGAGCTTTGGCCACCGTGCCTCAGTGATCACCACGGAGCCCAGGGACCGCCTCCTGCAGCCCACCCTTGCTGTGTCTGCCTGTACCTTTCTAGAGAGAACTTCCGAAACATGAGGTTGACTTGCTCCAGATCGTAGGCATCCAGGCCCTCAGACTGGTGGGAGGAGGAGGAGGAGTGGATGGAGGGAGGCCCAAAGGAGCAGCGCTCATGACTGTCATCTGCAAAGGAGCCAGGGCAGGCTGTTAGGACCTAGGAGCACCAACAGGGAGCACCCGAGCCTGTCTCTGGTTACTCTGGCACAACTGGTGATGACCTTCTTTCAGTCCTTTTTGCTTTAGGTTTTAGATAAGATCTTGAGTTTCTACTTCGGCCAAGCTCTGATCCTGATCTTCCCATCTCCACCTTCCAATTAGCTGGGATTACAGGCATGTATTGCCCTGCCCAGCCCAATTAGTCCTCCCGCTTCCCTGGTCCTGGGGCTGGAACTCTGGGGCTTGGTGCTGTCCCTGAGCTTTTGTGCTTAATGGTAGTACTCTACCACTTTGAGCCAAAGCACCACTTCTGATTTTCTGGTGGTTAATTGTAGATAAGAATCTCAAGGTCTTTCCTGCCCCAGCTGGCTTTGAACTGCAATCCTCAGATCTCAGCCTCCTGAGTAGAGGCATGAGCCACCAGTGCCCGGCTTGGCCTGATTAGTTTTAATTAGGCCCCTAGCTTTTCACCTCTTGAAATCTCATCACTCCTATCCAGTGAGGGCTCCCCAAAATTATGGTACTGGGGTCTCTCCTACCTCTCTTACCTCAGCTAGACTACCCTGAGGACTCAGGGAGGACAAGTTTGCTTTCCAGAGCTTTGGACTCTGGCTTGCAGATCCTGCTCAGGGCTGATAACGAGAACTCTGCAGAGAGGATTTTCCCCCATCCCGATACTGCAAAGTACTTTGGATGGCTGCCCAGGATTCTCTTCCTTACTTCCCCTCTGCAAGACTCCTCCAGCTCTGCTCATTATCCAGCCTTTGGTAGGTGCTAACCTCCCTTTAATACCTCAGAACATCTGACGATCCACAATTAGAGAGGGTCACTAGTCTTTTCAGTTCATCCACAGGCCAATCCTCAGGCAAGGGGCCCAAGGCAGGGCTGGGGACTGTGGGGGCCAGCTTGGCACACCAGGGGTGTTCTCAGTCTCCCGAGCTGTCTCTCTCCAAACGTGCCATCTCTGCCACCCACCAGGGGGCACAGAGAGGTCTCCATACCCTCCCTCCTCCCACTGACCTGCCCAGATGTGGCTAGGCTTGCCCATCTGCATCTTTCTGCTCTGTTTATTCATAGCGGTAGCACTGCATTCAATCCTGGCAAGGACTGGATGGAAATCTGTGTCCTGGCCACCTGGCACCAGGCTGGCTGGACCCAGCTTCCTGGCTGGCACAGTACATGCGCACTCTGTCCTTCCCTCCTGCCCCCCCCATCCCCCAGGCCCTGGTTCCTGGCTCCCTGCATGGCTTATTTGGGTTCACGGGCATGTTCACGCTGCCCAGCTCTGCCCTTGGGAAGGCCCAAAGGCTAAACCATACCTCTAGTGGTGAGTGTCCACCTCTGGTTGCAGGGGATCACACGTCACTCTGGTGCCACTGCAATGCCAGCCCCACCCCCACCCCCAGCCTGGCACTCTGTGCAGTTGGCTAAGGGATGGAAACTGAAGCTGTTCCGAGGATCCTGCTTCCCTCTTTCCCACTGCCTTGTTCTTCTGTACCCTTGAGACTCTGTTTCTTTAGCCCACAGAATGACAGGAACCATAGTCCTGCTGAGAGCTGCTGTCCTGGGCTTGGTCCTGCAGATGGCATGCAAGCTGAGCACCTCCACGGAGCCTGGCTATAATGCAGGGCAACACTGGGTAGCCTGGTCTTCATAGTTCTCGTCAGCCTCCTAAGGGCTGGGATCACATGGGTGAGCCACCAGTGCCTGGTGAGCTCGCAGATTTTTGTCCAGGCTGGTTCAGACAATTATTTCCCAAATAACTAGGGTTACAGCCATGTACCACCATGTCCAGCGGAGGATGATTCCTTTTAAAACCTGGATTTTAAGCTGTGTGCCAGTGGCTCATGCCTGTAATCCTAGCTACTCAGAAGGCTGAGATCAGAGGATCGCAGTTCAAAGCCAGCCTGGGCAAGAAAGTCCATGAGATTATTTATCTCCAATGAACCACTAAAAAGCTAGAAGTGGAGCTGTGACTCAAGTGGTAGAGTGCTAGTCTTGAGTGAAAAAGCTCAGGGACGGCGCCCAGGCCCCAAGTTCAAGGCCCAACACTGGAACAGCAACAACAAACCTCCCATCTCTGCAGTCTTGTTCGGCATCAAGTGGCTCCAACTGGGTCTGAAACAAAGAGCCAGCTCCCGGGTGGCTCCAGGCCCCCCAGTACCTTCATCTCAGCTCCGAGCCTAAATGCAACTTCTGAATGCCTTCCACACACTTCTGGCCCCTCCACCCCTGCCTGGGGCCCAGCACCTCCCCAGGCTCCGGGAGGCCTCTCAGAGTCAGCAGGCACGTACCCTCCAGGTCCAAGGCGTCAAAGCCACCGCTATCATTATCCTCTTCCACGATGCTGCAGGACAGGAGGGAGGGGAGATGAGGGCCCCGCGGTGAGCATGCAGGGAAGGGGGAAGCTTCCAGAACAACCAAGATGCCTGGGTTCTGAGAGGGCTATGTGGGGGTGGGGGAGGGGGAGAGGAAGGGTACCGCAGGGTGCAGAGGAAGAGCGAGGAGGGCCCCATGCGGGTGGAGACTGAAGGGTGAGGGGACCCGGTGGGGTGAGGCCTGGCTCATTCTTGATGCCTGAGACCCCGACAGTACCTGCAGCCCCATTTTGGTTTTGATGGGTCCTCAAACAGGTGTGGGGGACAAGCCCCTCACAGGGCTGGCCTGAGGAGCGCAGGAGGCCAGGATGACCATGGTGGGGGGAGGTCCCCACAGCTGGCCACAGCTGGGGCTGATTTTGAAGGGGCTCAGGAAGAGCTCCAGATCTGGTTCAAAGCCAGCCTGGGCAGGGAAGTCCATGAGACTCTTATCTCCTATTGACCAGCAAAAAGCCAGAAGTAGAGCTGTGACTCAAGTGGCAGAACACCAGGCTAGAGCAAAAAAGCTCAGGGACAGTGCCCAGGCTGTGAGTTCAAACCCCAATAATGGCACAAGAAAAAAGATAGACCTCTCCTCCATACTACAACCACCTGGCTCCTATATACTATTACATATATATATATATATATATATATATATATAAATATATATATATAATGTACATACATATATATGTATTTTATAGATTAGCAGATGCAGATGGGTTTGGGGAGGTGAAGGAGGATGGGGAGCAGTAAATACTTCTTATCCTTTGTCCAAAAAATGCCACGTTCTTAAGCCAAGGGACCTAGGACCCTGATTTCTGGGCAGCAGGGGCCAAAGGACACAGTTTGTGTGTGTGTGGGGGCGGTATTGGGGTTTGAATTCAAGTCTTTATGCTTTCTAGACAGGCTCTCTACCACTTGAGGCATGCCCCTTGACCCTTTCTGCTTTCGTTGTTGTTCAGAAAGTTTTAAGTTTGTGTCCAGGCCCAGGCTAGCTTCCAACCACAATCTTCCTCATCACTGAATCACTGGAAGGAATGACAGGAGTCTATCTACATGCTAGGCTTGGTTGTGAAGAAGGGAGGTCTCATTAACTTTTTTACAGCGGTGAGTCTCCCAAGTCCTATCTCCTGAGTAGCTGCAGTTACAGACATGAGCCTTGTGACCAGAGTTGGGTTTGGCCATTTGACAGCCCACCTTCTGTGCCCCTCCCCGCTCCCTGTCAAGGTCATGGCATGGGGCGCAGGTAGCGTGCAGCGCCGGGTGGTGGCGGGCTGGACCTCCACCTGCAGCTCACCTGCGGTGAGGCATGTCCTCCTTGCAGCGCCTGACAATGGAGTCAGTTCCCGGGGGCTCAGCCGTGGTGGACATGAGGCTGCTTCGGCTACGGTGGGGCTGCTGGGAAACAGGAGCACGGCAGCATTATGGGGTGCACGCCCCCCCAGGCCTAAATACTACACAGTTGGGACCTCCATTTCACTGGGCTGTTCCCAGGCATGTGGGCACAGCGTGCTGGTGCTGAGTGACCTTGGCCAGGGGAGGCTGGGGACACACGGGGCGGGCAGGGTGGAGCGTGTGGGGTGCAGAGCTGGGGTGCTGCACTCGCTCTGCTGGGAACACAGAGAAGATCGTGGAACCCGTGGTGGGGGCAGATTAGAGGCGTCTTGTGCTGGAGAGGTGGGGGACATGGAACCAGGCCACTGTCTGTGTGGTGTCTTGGCTAAGAGCTTTGGAGTGTGCTCTGGTGCTAGCCCCAGCCTCCCAGGCTGCCCTGGGGCTTGGGATTTAGAATCCTGGGCTCCTCCTGCTGCCTGGCTGTGGTGAGCCACATCAGGTCTGGTGTTGGGGACCCTGGCTCTGGGGAAATCTTTGCCAGGTGCAGCCAGAGGCGCCTGCAGCTGCTCAGGGCCCAGCCCTGGCTGCCGGCCACTGCCCTGGGGTTGGGAAGCAGAATTCTGGAGCAGCAATCCTGCCTTGGTGCCAGCACGCCTCCCCCTGGCCCCCAGCCTCAGGCCCTCCTCCCGCCGAGTGTTAAATTGGGAAAGGAGGAGGCAAGGAAAGTGCAAATGCGTTGGGAAGCCTGCAGACATCTTTCGATAAACGTCTGGAAACGTGCAGCCCAGGGGCAGGGTGTATGTGCGCGGGAGCCCAGCTCACCATATCGCAGAAGGAGCTGGTAGCTGGGAGTGAGCGGGAGGAGCCAGGGCTGCAGCCTGTGCAGTCATCTTCCGACCCCTTCCCTGTGGCAGCAGAGAGGGCCATGGTGGGACAGGGAGAGGGTTTGGGGGTGGGGACGGGCCAGGCAGAAAGGAGGGGGAGGGAAAAGGAAATCAGAGATGGCTTGGTGCCATCCTCTCCCCTGCTCTGTGAGGGGCTGCCTGGGTGACTGTGTGCCCACAGGGCCAGTCTGGGTGGGACTACTCAGCCATCAGAGTCCTCCGACCTCCCCCTCTATGTCTGTACAGCTGGTCTTCTGGCCCCTGGGCCTGACCCAGCCCCCAGAACCAGGCAGCCCAGCAGGCCCAGCCCCCTGAGGCATGGAGTCCAGGCCCTGGGGTGCTGTTCCCTTTCTGCTTGGGGATAACACTCTGCTTCTCCTAGACCCCAGGCCCTTTGCACATGTCTTTCAACAACAACAACAACAAAAAGGTCCTGGAGACACCTGATGGAGCACAGTGAGCTGGACCAGGCTTTGGCACTGGCCTGTTTACTGCTCCATGCCTGAAAAGACCAGCTCAGCCTGACTCACCTCACCTCACAGCCTTACTCCCAACTCCCAACTCTGGGGTCAGCACACCTGGGCAGCAGTGTTCAATGCAGCGTACTTCCCGGGCTACACTCACCCTCCTGTCCTCCCCTTTTATAGTCCCCCTTCCCTAACCCCAGGCTTCCCTTCCTGGCTGCTTCAATGTCCCGACATCCCTGTCTCCCTCCCACTTCCCACCTCCACACTGGGGCATCGTTCCAGGGCAGGTTGTCGGCAAGCCTGGTGTGGATGGGGAGGGGCAGGGGCTCTTGGGCTTTAGATCACCACGTGCATGGACTGCTCCCTGGTGTGACCCCCCCCCCAGAAGCCTCCAAAGTGGTCTGAGAGACGTGGAGTGGCAGATGAGGGCGAGAGGCAGGGGGCACTCACTAACCTTGAACGTCCGACACCTGCTTCAGGCTGATGGGGGATTTGGTTCTCTGCAGCTGAGAGATGGGAGGGGAAGGGAGACAGGGCATGGGGTTTGAACACAGGACTTCATGCTTGCTAGGCAGGTGCTCTGTTGCTTGAGCCAGGCAGACAGCCTTATTGGCTTTATTAATTATGTAATTAATTGTTTAGGTAAGGTCTGTGTTTTTGCCTGGGCTGTGTTAGCTGCAGGCATAGCCTGCCCCTGCCTGCCTGCCTGCCTGTCTTAAAGAGTAAAGGAAATGAATAAAACAAATAGCCACCATGGGTTGGCATGAATTCCCTCTCTAGGGCTGAGGTGAGAAGCCATCCCTGGTTGACAGAGCCCCAGGCAGAGCCTGAGGTGGCCTGCAGGGGGCGCCCGCGCCCTACCCTCCAGGATGACATTGATTGACAGCGGGTACCTGGATGCCCTTCAAGTTCATCCTGCGCCGGGGAGGGTGGTAGGGCAGGAAGTACTTGCTGTCCTCTGGAGAGTCCTCAGAGGTGGAGGAGTCGTCCGCTTCCTGCCCGTTGGTCCTGGGGCTGGTGTCCCCAAAGTTCTGATTGATGATGGCAGCTGGCAGGTTCCGGGGTAGACTCTGCACACAGGGGTGGGGGGCTGGTGCCCGGTATTGCAGCTCCTCATCCTCAGCCCCCACCCCCCATTCCTCCTGTCCTGCTTTCCCCCAGGAGGGCCTTGGCTGCCTTCTTGGTGGACAGGCTCTTGGACTCATACCCATGGCTTGTGTGTGTGTGTGTGTGTGTGTGTGTGTGTGTGTACTGGGCCTGGGTGCTGTCCCTTAGTCACTAAGGTTGGTGCTCTACCACTTGAGTCCCAGCTCCACTTCTGGCTTTTTTCGTGGCTCAATGGAGATAAGAGTCTCATGGACTTTCCCTTCCCTAGGTTGGCTTTGAACCTCACTTCTCCGATCTTGGCCTGCTGAGTGGCTGGGATTACAGGTGTGAGCCACCAGCACTGGACTATACTTTCTAACTTTGAAGCCAGTTCCGTTCCGGTCAGCGCTCTGCAGGTGTGCACACAGGAGGCGTGTGGGAAGGGGGTCAGCTGCCTCCCGTGGGGCCTGGCCGCCTGTGGCCCGGCCCACTCACCTGGTCCAGGCTGTTGTTCTCTCTGGACAGGCGGCGGAGCTTGCTTTCCAGGTTGACAATGCAGGCCTCTCGCCGCACCATCTCAATGCGCATCTCGTCGTTCCTCTCCTCCAGCTCCCGGATCTGCTTCCGGTACTTGTCCTTCTCCAGCAGACACTGCGAGTACTGCGTCTGGGCTTCGTCTCGGGAGTGGAAAGCCTGTGGGGAAAGCCACACAGAGACGCCTGACCTTTCACCCTGATGTAACCCCCAGGACCCCAGGGACCTCTCTGACCAGGCCAGGGCTGTGTGTCTCTTGACTCTGACTCTTGGGGGTCTCAACCAGGTGACCCCATGTTGTGTATTCAGCCTTTGCCATGTGTTCTGGGATAGGTGAGTTTGGCTGTGTACCTCCCTGGGCTGTACCCCATCCCATTCCACAGATGAGGATCCTGAGTGGGCAGCTTGTCTGAGGGCACCCCATCTTATGAGTGTCCCTTGGAGCAGAGCCTGCCCTTCCTGAGGGCGGCTTTAATAAAGACCTTGTTTAGCCAGGTGTGCTTGTGCTTGTGCTATTCAGGAGGCAGAGACTGGGAGGATCAAGTTTTGAGGGCGGCTTTGGCAAAGAAGTTCATAAGACCCTCATCTCAACCAATTTGAAAAAAGCTGAGTGTGATGACGCATGCTTGCCATCCCAACTGTGTAGGAAGGGTAAATAGGAGAATCTTGATCCAGGAAAAATGCAAGATTGTATCTCAAATGTGACTTAAAGCAAGAGGGCTGGGGATGTGCTTCAAGTGGCTGAGATCTGCAAGGTACTGAGTGGGCGTCAGTGGCTCACGCCTGTCATCCCAGCTACTCAAGAGGCTGAGAACTGAGGACTGCAGTTCAAAGCCAGCCCAGGTAGAAAAGTCTGTGAGACTCTTATCTCCAATTAATCACCAGAAAACTGGACGCGGTGCTGTGGCTCAAGTGGTAGAGCATTAGCTTTGAGCTGAAGAGCTCAGAGACAGCCCCCAGGCCCAGAGTTCAAGCCCCATGACCAAAAAAACAAAAAACAGCAACAAAAACCCCCACAACCCCCGCCCCCAAACCCTCCAGTACTGCCAAAAACAAAACCAAACCACGTTCTGCATGTGAACCCTTGGTAATCTTATTTAGGCCCTTGTGATCCCCAAATGCCTGTGGGTTCTGGAAGCTTCCTGGATGGCTGCAGTGGGGTCTGATCTCAGTGCCTTGTGCTCTACCACTGAGCCACACCCTGGCCTTTCATGCTGTAGTTATTTTCCAGATGAGGTCTTATGCTATTTTTACCCAGGGCTGTGCTTTAGACTGCGATCCTCCTATCTCTGCCTCTGAGTGGCTGGGGTGGCAGGCATGCACTGCCATGCCTGGCTTTGGAATTGGCCTTTGAAGTAGAAACAGGAAAGACGGCTTTATGGGCCATCCCTGTGCAGTCTGTGACATGGTGGGATGGGCCACATCGCTGAGAAGCCCTGGGGCCCAGGGACTGGGGGGGTGTGTGGAGTGAGAGGGCTGGAGGGTACCTGGTCCCGCTCCCGCTCCACCTCCTCCAGCTGTAGCATGACGGTGTTCATGCGGTGCTTATACATCTCGCAATCCTTGCCCAGCGTGGAACATTTCAGCTCCAGGTCCTCCTTCTCCTCCAGATACTGTGGAAGAGCAAGGTGAGAAATCAATGCAGGCCACCAGCCATCAATAGGTCAGGGCAGGTGGCTCACTTTCCAGCTGTGCTGCCTGGCGCTGCCCATCCCTCCCCATGTGGCCCAAGCGGTCCAAGAAGCAGCTACCTGACTGAAAGGCATCTGTGGTCGAATGCTGCTCAGTTGGCAATGGATGGGTATGGACCTACTAGGCAATGCGTGGGGAGAACAATGCAGAGGCTATGTGTGCCCTGAGTGTCTTCTTTTCCAAGCCATCTTGGAAAGCAGGTGGCTCACGCCTGGGATCCTAGCTACTCAGGAGGCTGAGATCTGAGTATCACGGTTCTAAGGCAGCCCCGGGGCAGCAAAATCTGTAAGAATCTTATCTCTAGTTAGCCATCAGAAAACCAGAAGTGGTTCTGTAGCTCAAGTGGTAGAGTACTAGCCTTGAGTGAAAAAGCTCAGGGACAATGTCCAGACCCTGAGTTCAAGCCCCATGATGGACAAAAAAAAAAAGAGAGAGCAGAAGTTGCACTGTGGCTCAAGTGGTAGAGCACCAGCCTTGAGTGAAAAAGCTCAGGGATAGTGTCCAGGCCTTGAGTTTAAGCCCCAGTATTGGCTGCCATGCCTACCCTCCCCACCCTCCACAGCTCCTGGTGGGCAGAAGTCAGGGTCAGGCTGGGCGGACGCTGCCCCTGGAGTCCCCTGGTGCACCTGCCTTGTCTCGCAGCTCCTCAGCCTGGCGCACCTCCTCCTGAAGGTTGTAGATCTTATTGACAAGCTCCTGCCGGTCCTCCAGTGCCTCCTTCCGGTCATGTTCCAAGATGTCCAGGATGGCTTTGTCTGAGTCTGGCAGGCTGCGCTTGCCGGCCTGGGTGGTGGGAGAAGCAAGGTGAACGGGAGGGTGGGGACAGAGGAGCCACAGACGAAGAGTGAGTGGAAGGTTTTGTGCTGGCAGAGGCAGGGTTTCTCTTGGGGACCTTAAGCAGCTTATCATCTAAGAAATTGATCGCTTGGAAAGACCCAGAAAGCCCACTGTGCCCAGGGGGAGCCTGTGCCAAGTATTCTGCCAGGAGCAGCAGCTGCTCCTTCAGACACTCGGGTGATGATGAGAAAGACCCCCAGATTCTCAGATGCCACTCCCAAATAGCCTGTAAGCTGCTCCAACTACTGCAGGACTCAGCCTCTGCTTGAAATCCAGCCAGGCCCCCTTAGGGGCCATTCTATAGCATGGAGAGGGGGCATCTTTTCTTTTCCTGCAGAGGTATCTTGGGATGTTGCTGCTCACTGTGCCAGGCGAGGGAGTGGGAGGGGATGGCGGCGTGTTGTTGGGTTTCTGTGTGTCTAAGGGTAAGACTGTTGATGTACATTTTCCCTCTCATGGCACAAGGCATTAATTTCTGGGTGGATGGCGATTCTCAATGCAGGCATCAGTGAGATGACTTTTTTCTTTTTTGCAATACTGGGATTTGAACTCAGAGCCTCATGCTTGCTAAGCAGGTGCTCTACCACCTGAACCACACCTCCTGTTCTTTATTCCTTTTTTTTTTCAAGTAGAATATAGTGTTTTTCCCTAGGCCTGGACCATGATCTTCCTCTCTCTCTCCCACATAGCTGGATGACAGGCGTGAGCCTCCACACCCAGGCAGGGGCAAACTTTTCTTTTTTTTTAAAGTATTATCTTCCATAATGGAATGTCTCTGATAAGGGGGTGTGCTGTGGTCAACCCCACTTCACAGAGGAGGAAAGGGAAATGGCCAAGGCTGACAGGCATCATCTGCACTTTGCAGTTGGCCAAGTGGGACTGTGGACTTACCGGGGCAGGAGTGCGGGCCCCGCCCTGCCCCGCCCCACCCTCACTGTGTCACCAATGGCCTCATCTGGCTCCGCCCTCACTGCACCACTTTGGCCCTGCTCCGCCCTTGCTTGTGTCACCATGGCTTCACTTGGCCCCTCCCCTCCCCTACATCACCGTGGCTCCTCCCACACCTGTATCGCCATGACCCCGCCCTCCTGTGTCACCATGGCCCTGCCCCATCCTCACCTGCATCACCCCAGCAGCGCCTCACCTGGATGACCGACTGTAGCTCCTGGATCTTGGTCTTCAACATCTCGTTCTCTCGCTCCAGCTCCAGGACCTGCTCCTTCTTCGGCCGGCTCTCAATGTCATTCTTCAGTTTCAGCGACTGGTTTCTTTCCAGCTTACATTCCTCCTCCATCTTGTTCAGTCGGTGCTTCAGCTGGTCAATCTGAAATCCCCAGAGGAGCCGAGGGGAGGGGCGTTGGCAGGGGACACGGGAAGTGCCCAGCACCCCCAGATCCTACTGCTTCCCCACACAAGCCAAGCTCTGTCCCTCTGCTCCTTTCTGTTGGTGGTGAGGAAGGACTCAGAGACACTTTTCCGTAAGACACGCCTTCATAACCTTGGCGTTGGAGACTTCCCGGGAGGTTAGATTTTCTTTCTTTTTGTGATACTGGGGTTTGAACTCAGGGTCTTGCACTCCCTAGACAGGGGCTCTGCCAGTTGAACCACACCTCCAGTCTTGTTTTCACTTTCAGATAGAGTCTCATTTTTTTTTTGTTTGTTTTTTTTTTTTTTCGGTTTTTTTTTTTTTTTTTTTTTTCTTTTTTGGTACTGGAGATCAAACCCAGGATGTTGCATTCTAGGCAAGTGCTTTGCCACTGAGCTACATCCCAGGCCAGATAGGGTCTCAATTTTTATCTGATGGATCTTGGATCATAATCCTATGACCTAGCTTCTTGCATAAACAGGATAACAAATGTGAGTTGCTGTGTTGTGTCTGGCTTGTTTGTTGAGATGGGGTCTTGGTAACTTTTTACCCTGACTGGTCTTGAACTGCAGTCCTCCTGATTTCCACCTCCCAGGTATCTGGGATTCTAGGTGTGAGCAATTGCATACAGTTTTTGTTTTTTCCTTTCCTTTCCTTGGATCCTGCCCTCATTCTTCTTCTTCTTTTTTTTCCTTTTCTGTTTTGACTAGAACTCACTATGTAGCCTACACTTCAATCCTCTTACATTTGCCTCTCGATTGCTGGCATTACAGGCATGAACTACTATGCCCAGCACCATTTTCCAAATCGAAACTTGTAAAAGGAATAACTTTAAGAAATGTGACCAAAATGTGACAGGCAGAGTCTGTAGCTTTACAGAGGACAGGGCCACTTGAACTGTCCTGAGACCTTGGCCCTATCGGGAAGCATCTTGGAGAAGAGAAATGACCCAGGTACTTGGATGGCTGGACAGTCTTTCATTCTGACACATCTTTTCATTTTTAGTGTATTTCACTTAGGTGTCGAGAACAGGAGAAAGTTCTAGTGTGCAACTTCTAAGTACTCCCTTCTCTGCCCCAGGTTAATAAATAGCACCAAGACCCCTGGAATTGGTCATGCAAAACAAATTCACTTTGTCCCGGGACGGGGGGGGGGGGGGGGAGGGGAGGGGACACGGGGGATGGGGGCCACACAATTGCAGGCCTTACTCTGCTTAAAACTCAGTGCAGAAACTCAGCAATCCTATAACACAGAGATTCTATCTCTCACAAATGGACAAAACAAAACAAAATAACACCACCACCGAAAAACCTAAGACGAACAGCCAAGAAAGCGATAGAGCCCGAATCTAATACAAAACTTCACCATGCACACTCTGAGCTGAAACGCTCCACTGCCCGTCAGACCACGGACTCAATTCACCTGAATGCTCCTGGATTGTTTACCGATCTGTCTGCCTCACTAAATCCTAAGTCACCGGAGCAGAGCTCAGGTTATTTATCCCCGTGTCCCTCACAGTACTTAGCACAGTGTCTTACACATGGCAGGTGCTTCATAAATATTCTGAGAGTCTATTTTCCACCCAGCAACCAGAGTGATCCTTCTCAGATATAAATCAGCTGTCACTCTCCAGCTCTCAATCCTTCAGCAGCTTCCATCACAACTGGAATAAATCCCACAGTTCTTACCACCGCCCCCATACCTGGACTCCAGCTGGCCCTCTTACCTCTCCCACCTCCTCTAGTACCACTGGCTCATTTGGTTTCAGCCTCACTATCTCTCTTGACATTAAGCCGGGGAAAACCCAAACAGCCCTCTTCCTTGGGGGATCTCTGCAATTATGTTACCCTGACTTGCATGGAGGGTTCCCATTCCTGTTCATCTGTTCCTTTCTTAGATACCCTTCCTGACCATCCTGGATGAAAGACCACTTTGCTAGGTGTGGTGAAGCATTCTTATATCCCTAGCTAATAAAAAGGATTGTTGTTCAAAGTCAATGGGGGCAAAAATTTACAGAGATCTCCAACTCAACAAACAAGCCAGGTGTAGCTATATAGATCGGTCACCCAAGCTGCCTGGGAGGCAGAGGTAGGAGAATCTCAGTCTGAGGCTAGCCTTAGGAAAAATTGGTGAGTGACACTATCTGAAAAATAACTAAAATTTAAGAAGGGATGTCAGCATAGCTCAAGTGATAGAGCACCTTTCTAGCAGGTGTCAAGACCCTGAGTTCAAACTTCAGGACCACCAAAACAAAGCTAATACAAAAGCATCTGGCTTCACTCTGTTCTCCTTCCTGGTAGCCCTTAACCTACCAGGTTCTGATGGATTTGTTTTCTGATTACAATGTGCACTCCCTGACAGGCAGTGATCTCAGCCTTAAGGGTCCGAGCAAGATGACATTTGGTAAATACAAGGAAGGGGTGGATAGCACAAGTCCCCTCCCTCCTCTACTTAGGAAATAAACTGGTGAAGCATGTCAACCATCAGGCTGGTGGGTGTGCACTGATACGTGTGCTGACTGTCCCACAGGGCGGGAAGCAGCATGGAGAGCAATGTAGATACTGGCATGATGGACAGGCCTGGCCCCAAGGGGTGCAGCCTCTGCCAAACAGGTGCTGTGTTTATTTCCTCACTCCTTTTCCTCAGCCTGGTGGTCTGCAGCCGAGGTGCTCCAACCTCCCTGTCACACTGGGGCTGTAGTCTCCGATTTCTCTTCTCACCTTTCCTGAGACAGGGTACAAGTGTGCATGTTTGCACATGTGCAGAATGAATCTAGGTGCAGTGAGCGCATGGGGGCTTCGTGCGTGTGCAGATCTGCACACATGCAGAGTGGATCTAGGTGCACTGAACTCATGGGGGGTTTTAATGCCTGTGTCGAACATGTGCAGACTGGATCTGGATGCATTAAGCTCCTAGAGGCTTTGAGCAGAGAGAGAGAGAGAGAGAGAGAGACCCAGGCACAGGTGTCTGCTCACGCATGCGCAGGACGGCTGTAGACCCTTTCCCCCCCTCCCCTCATCTGTGTGGGCAGAAAGGTCGGGCCGCATTGAGGTGTGTGTGGGAGCTGAGAGCGTTTGTCTGCAGGTGCCCATGATTTAAAAAAAATGATATTTCTATTAATTTATTAAAGAGAGGAAAACATTCCAGTAGACTTGTGGTTCTGAAGTGTACTTCAAGGCCTGAGCTAGCAAAAAGCAAGAAAGATGGACGGCCCCACTGCAATGGGCGGGCGCCATCCAAACGCTGCAGCTATTAAAAATAACGCGTGCCCCACCTCGAGCTGGAGGTCCCGGCTCCTCATCACGGCCATGTTCTTCTCCTCGCTGAGCTGGGCGTAGCGCATGGCCAGGTTGTAGTTGTCGTCCTTGACCTTGGCCAGCTCGTCGTTGTAGCCGTCGCGCTCCTCCTTCATCTTGTGGTAGCGGTCCTGGAAGGTCTGCAGCTCCACCCGCGTCAGCAGCAGCTGCTTCTTCTCGTCCTCCAGCTGCCGCGCCTTGGCCAGCAGCTCGCAGCGCTGCAGGTCCTTGGCCTTCATCTGCTGCTGCAGCTTGATGACCTCGTTCATCAGGAAGTGCGTGAGGCCCTCGTGGCCCTCCTCCACTGTGGAGAAGGGGCGTTGGGTCAGGCCCCAGGGCTGAGGAGGGGGTGGGGAGGGGGAGGTCTGCGGGGGGGGGTTGAAGGGGAAGGGGACAGGTGTCATCTATTCACTCATTCATTCAACAACATCTTGGTAAGCGCTGTTGAGCCCTTTAGCACTAGGGAGTCAAGGTGAGCAAAACAGCCTGGTCTTGGGAGAGCTTCTTGTCTAGTAAGAGGAAAAGACATTAAAAAAGAAAAAAAAAAAAAGGGAAGTGGTGCTGTGGCTCAAAGCGGTAGAGTGCTAGCCTTCACTGGCCAAAGCTCAGGGGCAGTGCCTGGGCCCTGGTTCAAGCCCAGGACGGTAGAAAGAAAGAAAGGGAAGAAAGAAAAAAGAAAGATGTCCCACTACAGATGAATGGGTCAAAAATTGCGGTACCTATATACAATGGAATATTATACAGCCATTAGAAAGGACAGAATAATGGCATTCTTTTTTTTTCTTTTTTTGTGGGTTGTAGGGCTTGAACTCTGGGCCTGGGTGCTGTCCCTCAGCTTTTATCTCAGGGCGAACGCTCTACTGCTTGAGTGGTTTTCTAGCAGTTTGTTGGAGATAAGAGTCTCACAGACTTTTCTGCCCAGGTTGGCTTTGAACCGTGATCCTCAGATCTCAGTCTCCTGAGTAGCTAGGATTATGGGCTTGAGCCACTGGCGCCTGGCTAATAATGGCATTCTTAGGGAAATGGATGGAACTAGAACAAATCATTTTGAGTGAAGTGAGCCAAGAGCAGAGAGACAAATGGCACAAGGTCTCCCTGATATGTGGATGTTAAATCCAAAATGTAAGGAGATAGAACAAAGTAAACAGGACTTAAGAAACAAAGGACTTCCAATCTGTCATATCATTTCTAAATGACTCCATGTTCTTGACCACATATATAGTATATAAACATGCACATCTGAGGGAAGCTAGGAGGAGGGCACAGAATCAGAGGGAAACGGGAAAATATACAACAACTTACACTAAGCCAAAGGAAAGAAATGTACCTATCACCCCATGTGGAAGAAATAGTTGTATTGTCAAAGCTCATAGAATTCACAAACTTTATAGGCCATGATAATGACAATTTGCCTTATGAAAGTTAAAATGTATTTGTGACTTTAACTAAGTATCACTATCTCACAATACTGTGAAATTTGTGAAATTTATGTAACCACTTATAGCAATAAAAATTATTAAAAAAGAAGGAAGAAAGGAAGGAAGGAAGGGTCAGGTCACACCCAGAGAGCATTAGTCTGTGAGTATTTCACAAAGTGAAGGTATAAGAGACTATGATTATGTGTGGTGGGGGAACCAGAGCCGCTCTGGGGGGCAGTGGTTAGAGAAGGGAGAATTTTTCCTCAGGGGAAAAGAGTATCATCCTAGAAGGTAGACAAGCATAGCCATGGCCACTTGGAGGAGGGAGGGTCTTGGCATATTTCCAGAAGTGAAGGATGATTCAAGTGTTTGAGCAAGGGAAAAGAGGAAGGAGAGAGCGCAGGAGATGGAGGCAGAAAGGTGAGGCCAGGAGGACTTGGGGGTTCCCTGTGATCACATTAAAGACCCAGGTCTTTATATGGAGAAATGGAAAACCATAGAAGAGACCTAAGTAGGAGACGGGGCATGAAGAGGATGAAGAAAGCCTTGGATCCGGCCAGGAAATGAATGAAGGGGGTGGGAGGGGCTGGCCTGGAGATAGAAGACTGATAGAAGAACATTTAGGAAGGAAGATTATGTAGACGTGATGTCCCAGGGCTCTGGCCCAAGACCCTGGCAAGAGAGCAGGCAAGATGGAGGTAAGTTGCAGGGGATCAAAGGCCCATCTGCTTACCCCCTCCTCCCAGTCCCCAGCACCACAGATGAGGCATGTCATGGACACCCCCAACCCCTGGCTCTTGTTTGTTTTGCCCTTGTCACCTGCCTTTCACCATCAGGTGAAATTCATGGTAGATAGCCCAAAAGTCCAGCATGTGACAGACTCACAGCCTTCACATTGTCCTTCTGCAGGACACATGTCTCCTAGTAGAGGCTACATACTTCCGATGGTAACGTCACTCACCCACGATGGTGGAGAATCTTCGAGTGGGTTCCTTCCCCGTCACTAGTTTGTACAGTTCTGGGTAGTAAAATTCTAGGCTCTCCAAGAAAACCACATAACCCCTTTGCCCTTTGGTATGCAGAATGTCCAACAATCGACCTGAAAGGAAAAGCAAATCAGCCCTGACTGGACAGGAGTGGTCTGCATTTGTAAGTCTTATTCTGATTGTGTCTCCACCAACTTCTAGCATTTCTGAGATGGATCTTGGAGTCCAGATAATGCCAATCAACTTGTCAGGCCCTCAGCAGGGCTTTGGTGAATACTTATCTATCATTGTAGATATGGGTAGAAATGGGATATGTAGAATCTTAGTCACAGGAACTCAGGAGTTTTGGGTTTTTCTGATTGGCCAGGGCTAAGACCACCCACACATGCATTAGCTTTTCTGTGGCTGACAGAGGTTGGAAGCATAGGGGATATATAGGGATTCTGGGTATTTGAGTGGGAGCTAGGGAAAGTCACAGAAAAGAGGAAGAGCTCTATGATCTTCCTTAGGTCATTTGGGGGTGTGCCATTAGGGAGGATTGTGAGACCCCAGTCACTCTGAGGCTTACTGGTGGGAAATGAGTTCTCTTCTCCACACCCTGCCAAGAATCACCTCCATGGAGCTGAGCTCTTAGCAGCTTACCCTTGAGCCTCCCAAACTTTGAGCCAAAAACTTCTTTTCTTTACAAAGTTAGCCTGACTCAAGTATTTTGACATAGTACTAGAAACACAGATGAACACATTCCTAAATGCACTTATTGTGTATACTTCTTGGCCCTTCATTAAACATTTTATTTTTAGATATTTTTTCTTTTGAGGTCTTAACACTCTACCTTTTCCCCAGGACAGACATGATAAATACATTTTATCTCATGTCACTTCTGATTGTTTGGTGAAGCTGCCTGGCACTCTGTGTTCAGAAGGATTCCAGAGTCACACGGGAGCTCACTGGGAAGTCATGATGTTCTTAATTAAGGATGTCTCCCATGGGGGCAGAACAGAGTCAAGGCCTAGGAACTGCTTATTATCACCTGTGCCACAGGGACAGGGAGCTCTCATCCCAGAGACAAATACATTTTATATCACAGTCTAGGACCCAAATAAAGAATACAGCCTAGATGTTCAGTGTATACATGGTGCAGGAAACTAAAGCAAGCACTAGAGACTGCTGGAAAAGCCTATGGACCCCTTCTCAGAATAAGGTTGCTTAACAGATTAAATATCTCAGCAGCAAAGGAAATTGGTGACAATGCAAGTTATCAAATAGTAAACAAATGTGTGGTTCTGTAACAAACATACTTTTACATGAATGCTCCACAGTTTAAAACTTGGTTTAATAACTGCTGTGATTTTTGAGTGAGAAATGCATTTGAAGACATTTGCAAAGATATAATGTGACATCAAGGTATTTATTTACTTGTACTGAGCTTTGAACTCAGGGCTTCAGGATTCCATAGATAAGTACACCAGGCCTAGTTTACTTGTTGGGATTGGGTCTTGCTAATTTTTTTCCCCCAGGTTAGCCTTGGCCATCAATCCTCTCATCTTTGCTTTGCAAGTAGCCAATATTACAGGCAGAGGCCACCATACCTGGCATGTTTATGTGTTCATTTACTGGTAATCAGGGCTTGAACTCAGGACCTTGTGTTCTTGTTTGGCTTTCTTGCTGATGGCTATTGCCCTACCACTTGAGTCATATCTCCAGTCCAGCTTTGTATGGTTATTTGGAGATCAGAGTCTCATGGACTGTTCTGTTTGGGCCAACTTGGAATCTCAATCCTCCAGATCTGTTTCTTGAGTAGCTAGGATTATAGGTATGAGCTACCAGCGCCTGGCTGTTTGCTGTTTTCTATTTGTTGACAAAATTCATAGGTATTACAAATCACTAGTACGATTCATTGTTTGCTGACATAATTGAAGGTGGTGCTAAAATTCAGGTTAGCAATGTCAATCAGATGCCAATTCCAGGGGTTTGGGGGTGTGGTTGAAGTGGTGAGGAGCTCCTACCTAGGGAATACAGGCCCTGAGTTCAAACCCCAGAACCACCTAATAAACAAGAGGTGTGAATTCCACCCTCTGGCAATTTGAAGGACCATTTGAGTTATACCCAGAGGTAGCTCAGTGGGGACGGTGATGGGCAGTGGTCCATGGATCCCTGGCTTGACAGTCTTGAGCCAGGTGTGTGTGTTGGGGGGAAAGTGGGGAAATGGGGTGCCTTGCCTCTGGCGCCCCTGGTGGCCACCTCTGTTACCTGCACGGTTGATTTTGGAGGGCAGGGTGGGAGCGCTCAGCACTTCATCCTCATCCTGCTCATCAATGACCTTGCACTGCCGCAGGTAGGGCGTGAGCTTTGCGGGGTTGATGTAGCGGCTGAGCATGTGCCGATTGCATTCCACGTTCTCCCACAGGGCGTCCTCCTCGTCCTTCAGAGTCTCCATGTAGTCCTCCATCTCCAGGCCTTCTCCTGGGATGCCTAAACCCCAACAAGGTGGACCAAAGAGTTCAGGATAGCCCTGTGCACTCCTCTGTGAGTATCTGGATAAGTTTTATTATTTCTTTTAAAATTTTATCGTAAAGGTAATGTACAGAGGGGTTACAGGTAATGAATACATTTCCTTTTGAACAGTGTCCCTCCCTCCCTCATTCTCCCCCAGTTTTTCCCCTCCTGATTTTCCTCCCCACCACCCAAGTTGTATAGTTCATTTTCAACATAGTGTCTAGTGGGTTCCACTGCTGAATTGGTTCACCCTTTGTCCCACCATTTCTGTTCTTCCCCTTCCTCTCCCCGTATCAGATAAACATATATACAAGACAAAGGGTACAGAAAAAAAAAAACAACCAGTGACAGAAGGGAATAAACCAGAGGAAAAATAAGAAGAAAAAAGAACCACAAACAATACAATAATAAAAAAAAAAACCTCTTGCTTCTATTTCTTGGCGTTCATTTCGATAAGCATCGTTTTACATAATCATATGCACATAGCTATTGAGCCCTTGTGATCCGCTCCTAAGAATATCCCCCTTTGTTCTCACTGTGAAAGTTTAGACTGCTGTTTAATCAACCATGCTCAGGTGTAATTATCTGTCTTTTACTATCCATTGGGTTTACTTATAGATACACAGGCCCATTCTAATAACTACAAATGAGGGAAACCATGCAGCCTATATGTCTTTGGTTCTGGCTTACTTTGCTTAGAAAATGTGGTACAGGGCTGGGAAGATGGCTCAGTGGTGGAGTGCTTGCCTTGCATGCATGAGGCCCTGGGTTCGATTCCTCAGCACCACATAAGAAGAAAAAGCTGGAAGTGGCACTGAGGCTCAAGTGGTAGAGTGCTAGCCTTGAGCTGAAGAGCTCAGGGACAGCACCCAGGCCCAGAGTTCAGGCTCCACAACCGACAAAAAACAAACAAACAAACAAAAAACTTCCTTAAAAAAAAAACTTTCTTTAGAAAATGTGGTACATATACACAATGGAATTCTATGTTCCCGTCAGAAAGAATGACATTGCCCCATTTGTAAGGAAGTGGAAAAACTTGGAAAAATTATGTCTTGGTAATGTAAGCTGGCTGGATACTGGTAGCTCACCCCTATAATCCCAGCTTTTAGGGAGGCTGAGATCCAGAAGACTGAAGTTCAACACTAAACCAGGCAGAAAAGATGCTACCTCCCAAATAAGAAGCATAAAATTTCACTCACATGTGGTTCAAATGAGATAGTGCCTACCTAGGAAGGAAACTGAGAGAGTGCAAGAAGCCCTAAGCTGAAACCCTTACTGGAAAAAGAAAAAAAGCTCCCCTTGTATAATTAATTGATATTAACAAGAAATAAGTACAATAGAGACATATACAAAGTATATATGCGAGAAGGGAGGATTTGAACATCAATACAAATACATATTTATATCTAAACACAATGTTGGTGTGTGTGTATGTGTGTGTGTGCGTGCGTGCACACGCATGTGTGTGCATGCTGGTATTTGGGCTTGAACTCAGGGCCTTGCATTCTTGCCTGTTTTTTTTTTTTTTTTGCTCAGGATTGGTGTTCTACCATTTGAGCCCCACCTCCACTGGTTAATTGAAGATTATAGTCTCATGGACTTCTCTGCCTAGGTTGGCTTTGAACTGTGATAATCAGATCTCAATGCCTTCAGTAGCTAGGATTACAGGAATGAACCCCTGGCTCAGGCTTAATCATAAAGTTTTAAACCTTTTTAAGGAAAATACACGTAGATCTAATTCAATCTTTTTATTTCGTTTTGCTTTGATTGAAACAGAGTCTTAATAGGCAGCCTAAGATAGATTTGAATTCACAATCCTCCTACTTTAGCCTCCTGGGTATTGTGTTACAAGTATGCACTACTACACCCTACATACTTCATTTTTTTCCCTCTTTCCTTTCTTCTCTCTTCTCTCCCACACCCCTCCCCCGTTTCCCTCTACCCCTGGTGGCCCTAGGGATTGAAATCAGGGTTTCACACTTGCTAGGCAGTCATTCTACCTCTGAACAAGGCCCTTTGCGTGTGATTTTTTTGAGGTAGGGTTTCACTTCCCTTTAAGGTATGTTCCTGGAATGTGATCCTCCTCTTTTAGGTTTCCTGTCACTGTGGAAATAACAAGTTCACACCACCATGTTCAGATTCTTCTGTTGAAGTGGACTCTTGTGGACTTTTCTTCCTAGCTGTCCTGGAACCCTGAGCTTCCTGATCTCACCTTTCTAAGTAGCTAGGATTGGAGGAGTGAGCCAAGAGTGCTAGGGTAACACGGTCAGTGTGAAGGGCATTTTCTTCATTTCATGAAGAAACTATCCCTTTTAATGTCACTATTTTTCTCTAAGAACTGTCCTTCCTGCTTAGAAAAGTATGCTTTCTAGACTCTCCTACTAATGGAGTTATACAATGTAGTCTTTTGTGGCTGGTTTCTTTCATTTAGAATAATTTAAAAAATTCACTAATGTTGAAGCACATATCAGATCTTCATGAAAAAAAATTGCCAAATGATTTTTTATGCTGGCCTTGGAGCATGATCCTACCTCTTCTTCCTGCATATAGCTGGAATTGCAAGCACTTGCTACCACACCTGGCTTGTTCTTTGAGATTTAAGAGTCACACTAACTTTTTGCCAGGGCTTCCCTTGAACCACGATCCTCCTATCTTCACCTCCCAAGTAGCTAGGATTACAGGTGTTAGCCACTGTCCCAGATCCCAAATGATTTTTCATTGTATGGATATGACATGTGTTGTGTGGCCCATCATCCACAGGTGGACGTTTGAGTTATTTCTACAGTATGAGCAGTGTGCTGCTGTGGGCATTCCTGGGCAGCTGTTTGTGTGGATAGATGTTTTCATCCTTGTACGAGAGGAATTCCTGAGACATATGGTTGGTGTGCATGTAACGTTTTGCAGCATACAGCAGCCACGCCATCTTGCATTCCCATGAGTAATGTCTGGGCTCTCCTTTGCCACATTCTTGCTAATGCTGGCTCTCCTCTGTCTTTTATTACAGTCATTGTGCTGAATGTGAAGTAGAGTCTCACTGTGGTTTGGTTTTGCATTTTCCTAATGACTAATGATATGGAGCATCTTTTCATTTGCATATTGGCCATTTGTGAAGAGAATTATCTATTCAAATCCTTTGCCCATTTAAAAATTGAGCTGTTGGTCTTTTTATTATTGTGTTGTAGGAATATGCTGGATGCATATCCTTTATTAAATGTGTGACTTGCAAATATTTTCTCCCTTCCTGTCAGGTGTACTTTCATATTCTTAGAGTCTAAACTTGGGCCAGGTGTGGTTCAGATACTCAGAAGGTAGAGATAAGAGGATTGTGATTGGAAAAGTTAGAGCTTATCCCCAAAACAAACTGAAACAAAAGAGGTGGGCACCTGGCTCAAGTGGTAGAGCATCTGCCTAGCAATCAAGGTCTTGCATTCAAATGGTACTAAAAAAAAAGAATCTAGTTTAAAAATTAAATTCTGATGTCATATAGTTGTTTTTTTCTTCCATTTTGATTTTGGAACCCATTAAAAAAGTAATTATTGCCAGGTGTTGGTTGCTCACGCCTATAATCCCAGCTACTTAAGAGGCTGAGATCTGAGGATTGTGGTTGGAAGCCTGGGAAAGTCTGTGAGACTCTGATCTCCAATTAATCACCAGAAAGCTGGAAGTGGCTCAAGTGGTAGAGTGCTAGTTTTGAGCAATAAAACTCAGAGGCTGCACTCAGACCCAGAGTTCAAGCCTCAGCATCTGTACATACACACACACACAAATGTCATTGTTTACCTCTTGGGTTGGTGGTGTAACTCAAGTGGTAGCATGCCAGCTGGAAAAGCACAAGGCACTGGTATCACAAACAAACAAAACAAAACCCCCCAACAGTTACTTTTATTTTTTTCTTACAGTTTTATACTTTAGCTCTTACATTCAGCACTGTAATCTGTTGTGTGTATGTTACAAATCAGGTGTGTCTCACTGCAGAGTCTCACATGTGGATAGCTCCTTGTTCCAGAGAATTCACCCCCCAAAAACTATTCTTTCCCCATGGAGTGAGCTTGGACTCCTAGTTGAGAATCAGATGATCCTAAATGCGGAAGTTTGTTTCTGGACTTTCCAGCTGACCACACTCAAGTCTGTTTGTTTTTATGCGAGAACCGCACTGCTTTCCATAGTCTTGTAATAAGTTGGGAAGTAGGAGCCTATCCCCCATCCTTGGTACCCTATTACTCTTTTTCAAGATTGTTTTGGAGATCATGCGCCCCTTTATGATTCCAGGTGAGTTGTAGGATTTGCTTGCCAATTTCTGAGAGAAAGGTAACTGTTTTTTTGTTTTGTTTTGTTTGTGTTTTGGCAGTAGTGGGGTTGGAACTCAGGGCTTTGCCCTTGTTAGGCTGGCTTGCTTGCTCAGTGGGTGCTCTACCACCTGAGCTATGACTCCAGCCCAACTTTTTGCTGGAGATTTTAGAGATACGAGTCTCACAGGCTTTTCTGCCTGGGCGGCCTCAATCCTCCAGATTTTAGCATCCTGAGTAACTAGGATTACTGGCATGAGCTGCTAACATCTGACTAATTTATTGTTTTTTGTAAGGTACGCCCTGGGAAGGCGGAGCAGACTCCTCCTGCCTCTTGGTTAAGTCTCCACCCAGTACTTGTGTCACCTAAGTAACTGGCACACTTGGAGGCAGTCACCCCCCCCCCCAAGATCACATCTACATCTGGTGTGGCTACACCTTCTCCTGCCCCTGGTTTTGATAAATCATGGCCTGGCTATGGTTAGACCTTTTTTAATCCCTGCTGCTTTGGCTTCCAACTTGACCAGAGGCGGCCTGGAGCTTGAAAATAAACCTTGCCTTTGCCTGTATACCATGGGCTGCTCTCTTTCCTCGGCTGCCAATTTAATTTACCTAATAGTTTTAATAGTAGATGACTTTTGATATTCTAAAGGTAGGATCATGTCATCTGCAAATAGGGACAGTTTTACTTCTAGCTTTCAAACTGGGGCTCTTTTATCCCTCCTTCTCACTAGCTGTCCTGTGATGTATTACATTTATTATGTATCCACGAGTCCCCCATATTCCGAGCTCATTCATGCACAGCTTACCTTTCTGTGCTACATTGCCTTGAGCCTAATACCCAGTGGCACCCATGCATCCTGGGTGGAGCCTGTTGCCCACGACACCCTCCCATTCAGGACAACAGGGCACCAGGGTGCTCATTTTCACCTAAGAAGGAAGACATCCTTCCTTTCCTCTTCTCAGGCAGCCAGCATTCTAAACCAGCGCTACCATGAGTTATTTATGAATAAACACGCAGCAGGCCTTGCTGCTACTTATCAACAACTGCTAACAGAATCACATCCTATTTCCCCCCCTCGGAAATCCCAACCCACATGATTCCAGGAGAACGGGTGTCTTGTGAACTGCCAAAGTGGCTTTTGTGTGGCACCCACCCGCGGTTTCTAGACAAGCTTGTGCAGTGCCTCATGGCCCAGGCCGTGTGCAGGGAAGCTGCTGCTCATGGTGCACTGGAGCTCCCAGGCCAAGTGATGGGAAACGGATGGCAGGAGTTTGCCTTCATCTTGGGCAGTAACTCAGAGAAAGGAGACCCTGAGACTGATCTTTTAGTTGTTCCAGTGATGCCCGGGATCTCTGCGCCCAGGGTGGGATCTGAGGATTCCCTGGGGCACAAATGTCTGGAATGTCATCCAGATGGCAGGGCAGAGAGATGGAAAGAGGTTGGGCCTGGTGGAGGATTTGCAGAGTGGCTGAGAGGTGCAGCTGCAGGAGAGAATGGCAGGTCAGGTGCTAACAGCTTGTACTTCTGTGGGGCTCTGAAGTTCTGTACTTAGGAATCATGCTTCCTGTCTCTCACAGACAGCATGGCTGTGGAGGCTGGGTGTGAAACTAGCTGCAGGGGGCTTGGTGCCATGGCAACGCTTCCTGCAGGGCCCTGGGTGGCAGAGCGGCCACCTGAGTGGAGCAGGAAATGACTAGGATAAAACCTTCTTCCCACCACAGGCAAAGGGGCGCCTCTTCCTCAGAGGGAGGCAGCCACAGACCTCAGGTCTCACAGAGGCGGTGATATCATGAATGCCCAGCGCTGCACCCTGTGGGTCAAGTAGGGCTGAAGTGCTTGTGACATTTCCTGAGTGCCATTCTAGGGGGCACAGAGGGTTCTGAGAAACTTCTGACATAGTGCTCACAGTCTGGAGGTACAGGCCAACTATCTACACAGGTAACAATTCATGGTGAGGGTAGCACCCGGAAGTCCATGTAAAGGGTGGCACCAAACGCACAAGTGTAACAGGAAGGGCCCAGCCTTGGGCTGTCTGCCTGCCAGGCACCATGCCTGACCCTTTATAGAAATTGTTTTATCACAGCCACCCTGAGAGGTGGACATGGCCCCCTGTTTTGTAGACAAAGAAAGTAAGATGCAGAAAGCCCAAACAACCTACACTGAGTCCAAACTGGTCCTCTCTACTGGGGCCTGCCCCATATTACAGCGCCCCAAGGTTCCTCTTAGACAGCAGGTGCCATTTTTGAATGGGAATTTACTGGCAAGAGGGAGAGGTAGGAGAGAACAAAAGGAGCCAGGCATGGTAACACACACTTGTAATCCCGGCCACCTGGGAGGCAGAGCTAGAAGGATCATGACTTCAAGACCAGCGCTGGTAAAATATTAAACAATATTAGAAATGTTAGACGATATTCTGTCTAAAAAAAAAAAAAACAGAAAAAGGGCTGGGGCATGGCTTCAGAGGTGACATGCGTCAGTTCCTAGTATGAGAGGAAAAAGAAAAGAAAAGCATGCTGAAGTAAGGGTCAGAACTCGCAGGGAAAAGCCTGGGAGTGAGGCCCACGGCTGGACCGCCCTCCTTCCGCTTGGTGCACCTGTAGGGGCCGCCACGAGTGTAACTTCAGAGCGTCCTCTTTTAGAGAAGAGACGCTAACACTGCACAGAGCCATTTCTGCCTAACGCCTTTATGATGCAACCTCATTGTGCCCAGAGGGGTCCTAGCCGCTGTGTTTGTGACATACATTAAGCGTGCCCAGCAGTGTTCCGTCTGTTGTGATGCAATCTAGGCGCACCAGAAGCATTCCTGTACACCATGTTTGTGGCGTCAATCAAGTGCGCTCAGAAGCACTCCTGTTGGCCATCTTTCCCTCTTGATTGCTGATCCTAGTCTGAGCATGCTCAGTAACGCATGTTGGAGCACTCACCCCAGGTCTAGACTTATGAAATGGTAACCCCTCCGTACAACACCTTCATCATAACAAAATTAAGGGGAAAAAAAAACCAACAAAAACCAAACCAAAACAAAAACAACAACAACCCTGACAAGTTCAAGGCTCCTGGGCCAGGCTCCAAGGGGAAGGGTGAATCTGCTCACCTTCATCTGGGAAGCACAGGATACAGAGACCACATACCCATGCACAAGTCCCAGCACAGCTGTTCACTCCCTCTGCCCTCATTTGTCGAAGACATTTATCATATGAATGTCATAATACATTTGCTGTTATAATAAATTTCACAATGTCGACCTTGATCTCTGGGGGTCTGTGTGATTTACCTTCTGTAACCTCACAGACTTGCCACTGCTGTGCCCCCAGCATGCTGGATCCTTTGACTATCTCCCAAATTCAGGCTAATGTCAGATCTCAGCCCCTTCTTCTTCCCCTCTACCAAGTCTCTCTGTCTAGCTTTTCAACATAAAGCCAATAAGACAGGTAAAGTACCTGGCATGTGTAGATGCTCAATGCACAGGAGCTGATGAACAATTATTGAAGTCTGACTTTTACACTTCCTGGTGGGATCTCATCCTTTTTGGAGCCAGTCTCTTGTTGGATTGAGAGTTGAGATGGCTGGGATCTGAAAAGGGAAGATAATCAAACTTGGAGTAGAGGAGAAAAGAAGAAATCAAATTTGGAGGGTGCTCTGAAGCCAGGTGTAGTTGCTTATGCCTGTAATTCCCAGCTACTTGGGAGGCAGAGATAGGAAGATCATAGTCAAAGCCCAGCTGAGGTAAAAGTACGAGATCCGGTCTGGAAAACTAAAATCTAAAACGTGGAGCATAGCCCCAAGTGGTAGAGTGCCTGTCTAGAAAGTGCAAGGCCCTGAGTTCAATCCCCCCTATGACCTAAAATACAAATAAGGGTGCTGTGCTTTGGAAGAACATGGCAGGAAGTGAAATTCTGAGGTGGGACGGCGTCAGGGGACAGTACAGGTGTACATTCCAGGGGGAAAGCGTTTCTGTTATGTCCAGTCTCAAGGATGACCCGGGACGACCCACCACAGGTCCCCAGATCTTCAGGATCGGGGAGCTGGTGGCCTCGTGGTATCTCACGGCCAGCAGGGCGGATCTTCATGGGGCTCTGAGCAATGCTGTGATCAGTGGTGAATTCATTCGCTCAAAGGCAGCAAGCCACATCCCCAACCAGAGAGTTGCTTTCACTGTGAATTACACCCTCGGCCTCGTGGGCAGGAACACACCACAGCCCCACAGCCCACGGTGATTTCCCAAGGGATGCCTTCTTTATGGGGTCTGACAAGGGACAGGGCCGCCGCCTCACCCAGCACAGCTGTTCAAGGCCACTGGGGAGGTTTGTGAGGAAGGGGCGGAGCTGCTTGGAACAGGCAGGCCCACAACCAGGACAGGTGGGGTTCAAGCCCTGCGGAGGCAGGAGTGGACTTGAACTCTTGGGGTCTCCAGAAGCTGCTCTGAGTCCCCCTACATGGGAGGGACAGGGCCCCTGGGAGAGGCAGCTATAAGCAGGAGCTTGCTTGGTTTGGGCATGAATCACTGTGACATCAGATCACAATTGAAATCCTAAGAAACTCTGTGTGTGTGTGTGTGTGTGTGTGTGTGTTTTCAATACTGAGGCTTGAACTCTAACTTGCTCAGCTGGTGCTCTACCATTGTAGCCATACCTCCAGCCTAGATTTTTGTTGATTAACTAGAGGAGGCTAATGACCTTTTCGGCTCAGAATAGCCTCCAACCAGATCTCAGCCTCCTGAGTACCTAAGGTTACAGGTCTGAGCTACTGGTACCCAGCTGTAAGAAACCTTTGATTGTAAGCAGAGTTGTGATTAAAGGTTGCCACCATTGGTCCTCATGCTCTAGTTTCTTCTGGGTCAATACTGAGTGAGGAAACTGAGGTACAGGTCAGCCAATAGAGAGACTGGGCTTTTTCTGGTCATGGAACTTTGACTAAAGCCTTTGGGTACCTGGTCCTAAGATCAGACAACATTTCTAGGGCTCTATTTTGGCAGGTTCATCTCTTGATCACTTAAGCTGGTGACTTCCAGGGATGAAGGTATAGTCACGAGATGGAGGCAGCATCTACTACACCAGACTGCTTGCTTTGTGCCAGGCACCATGTTAGATGTCATTGACCAACCTTACGAATTGTTTGAAGCTGGGCTTGGTGGTGTATACTTTTAATCCCAGCTTCTCAAAAAGTGGAGGCAGGAGGATCTCCAGTATAAAAAGGGACTGGGGCATGGTTCAAGTGGTAGAGCTCTTGAAAAGCATGTGTGAAGTCTTAGGTTCTGTCTCCAGTAGTACATAGCACAAACCAAATACCTTTCAGCAGTGGAGGTGTCCTCATCAAAACCACCATTTACAGCTAACAAAATAAAGCTTGAAGCTGGGTGCTGGGGGTTCACACCTGTGATCCTAGCTACTCAGGAGGCTGAGATCTGAGGATTGCAGTTCGAAGCCATCTTAGGTAGGAAAGCCTGTGAGATTCTTATCTCCAATTAACCATCAAAGAGCTAGAAGTGGAGTTGTGGCTCAAGTGGTAGAGCACCAGCATTGAGTGAAAAAGCTAAGAGACAGTGCCCGGGCTCTGAGTTCAAGTCCTAGTCCCAACATGAAAGAAAGAAAGAAAGAATAAAAGAAAGAAAGAAAGAAAGGAAGGAAGAAAGAAAGGAAGAAAGGAAGGAAGGAAGGAAGGAAGAAAGGAAGGAAAGAAAGAAAAGTAAGACAGGCAGGCAAAGAGAGCTTGGAGAAGTTCAATGTCATTTGGCAAAAAGGGAAAATTTGGTCTTGAGATTCTTTCCTTCATTTAATTCATACCCAGCCTGTGTTTTTAATTACTTTTTAGGACTGGGGCATGGTTTCTGTGGTAGAGTGGCTCTGAGTTCAAACTCCACAATTCCCTCAACCCCCTACCCAAGTTGCCTTTATAAAGGGCTATGATGGAAGGTGTGCATACAGAAATTGAAGTTGTCATCTTAACGTAAGAGATGGAACTAAGACCGGGTTCTACAAAGACAGACTGGTGTGAATCCATGGGGGAAGCCATTTGTTCCCTGGCTAAGCCCAGATGCTGCTTTTAGCTGCCTCTCACTTAAGAGCAATCAGAGCCAAAGAAAGGTTGGCTTCTGAGGGAAATCTCTACCTGAAGGCAGAGATCAAGAGATAATCCGAGGACAGAAACTTGTAGGGAGCAGAGAATACAGTGAATAAGAGAAAACTTTTTGTTTTTTTCAGTCTGGTCGTGGGGCCTGAACTCTGGGCCTGGGTGCT